ATCAACTCTGGTTTTCAGTTGAAATTGGAATTGTTAATTTACACAATAATAGGATTGCATTGACGATTTTTTCTTAACTCGCAAAAATTTTCAAACAATTTGCTATCGATTGGTCATAAAATTTTTTGGAAATAATGAAATAGAGGGGATGGTGCCTTTTTTTTCAGAGGTGATTTTTCCAAAATTTATTTTAAAAAAAGTACTAACTAGCAAATGTTCTTTATTAGCTCGCAATTTTCTTCAAAACTACTTCAATGAGGAAAAAAATAAAAATTTGGAATATCTACATGAGGGTCTAATTGATCGGATCTGAATTTTCAAGTGCAGCGGCACATTGAGAGATGGCGGAATTATTCTCATTTCAAGGCGGTGCCACCGTCGACCGTACTGTCGTCATTTTCCCTAGAACGTGTTCAAAACGGAATGTGTCCATCTGAGCAGAGATTATTGTGCAAAGACCCCCCCAACCCACGTCATGCCTAGGGGGAAATTCTCCATCTGATCGACACACTTTCCCATTTGTTTTGACAGCAGATTATTCTTCATTTCAGTCAAGTGAAAAATCGACGAAAATCATCTCAATGACGTCCGTCCCCTCCTCGTGACTTCAACAATTAAATTTTCAGTTTTTCCTCCTGATTTATTTACAAATGGTGTCATAAAACAATCAGTAAGTACAAAAAATTGGAAAATGGAAAGCAAACGTTGCATAAGATTAGTTAATGCACAAGTAATAAATTCGTATTGTACTGGGTTTCAGATGGCTAGTAATAATCGAACAAAATCCGAGGAGAGTGAAAAATTTTGCACCATGGAAGAGAGAACAGAGTATTTCACTAAATTAGAAAAATGGTTGCAAGAGGCCTATGCTTGGCAGACTGTTGCCGCTATGTTTCCTTATTATTTAATGTCTGGACAAATTTTACAACCAAATGGTAAAATTTCAATCATTCACTCATATCCCATATTAGAAAATAGTGGGAAATTTCGTCATAACGTAGTATTTATATATTTTTGCAGATATATTTTTGTTAATAAATTAGCAATTTTCTTCCTAATTGCATTCCTATGACGATGTATTTTAAATCGAATTCAATGAACGTCAACAGTCAACATTTCCCCGACTTAAAATTTTTTAACATTTCCCTGAATATTGATTTCAAAACAAATTCTTTTAATAACCGATGATGCAATCAATCGCATGATCGAACTCTGTCGAGATGGCATTGGGAAGAATATTTTACATCACAATTAGATTCATTTTAAATAAATATCTCAATATTTTAATATTAAAAAACATCTTCAGACATTTAATTTCAATCGATTTTGATAAAAAAAATAATGTGAAATTCTGTTTCAATTTTTTCCCTTCAAACTGAAATTTATCTTAGGAATAAATTCCATACCTCAAAAAAAGGGGAAATTTCCATTATTTATTTATTTCCTGAATTCAAAATTAATTTAACATTTACCTCCTGTCTGCTTTATCAACTATATGTTTCATAATTCCGTAAATTGAATTTCTAAGGAAAAACATCTGATAATGTTTTTATTCAAATATCCAATGAAATTATGGTTAATTTTAGGAAATAATTTCTTACCTCAATTTTCACCGAGTGCTGGAGCCCCAGGCTTCCCAAGTGGACCATCAGCCACGTCGAATGACTCCACGAGACTGCGAGACAGAAGAGATTCGAGACCTGGTCCCGTACTCACGCCTGAAGGTATTAAAAACGTTATTTTCCTCTGTTTAATTTCTTTTTATTAATGAATGATGGTTTTACACGTACGTAAAAATTTCATTGGAAAGCCAAGCGAATTCGTTGGAAAATTCTGTTGAATTTTTATTCAACTGCTATTGAAGAATTCCGGACATATTGGACAATATGTCCAATAGAACTAATTTCATAGAAAAAATCAGGAGAATCTGATCTTTCCATAGAACTTTTTCTATTAAGACATTTTCAATGAAATTTTTTCGTGCGTGCACCTCTCAATATCTTCTCTTCATGTCCTTCATTATATCTAATTATTCTCATATTTCTGTGTAGTTTTTTGTCCATGTCTCTACATCTCATCTCGTGCTGTCTATCATTCATGTACTTGTGCCTATTTCAGTAAAAAAGAGCGAAGAGCTTGAAGTGAAAAAATGATTTTGCAGGAATTGAATACCGGATTCCACCGATTTGGAAGCGTTTCGTAGCTGAACTCATCGATTCAGTTATGTTATTTTTGCTCAAGCTTATGATAACTTTTGTTGCTCTGGATATATTCGCGGCGATGTGAGTAATTGCAATCTCTAAAGAACATTCCATAATTTATTCAGCAGAAAGTTGTACTGGTTCATTAATTTTTAACGGAATTTATTGCAAGAAAAATGCAAAAAAATCATTTCTCCCGAGGGCCTCTACTGTTTTCACTGCTTCATCTTCTTTTCAGGAATATGGAATCTTACAAGGTGGATTTACTCCAAACAAGCCTCAGAATAGTTGATTACAAAATGGCTATGGAAGTTGCATCCAGAATATTAGTCTGGGAATTGATGCATCGATTCATTGTTTGTATATTTGAGGTAAAGAAAAAAAAACAAAATAATAAATTTTTTGAAGCGTTTCTCATACTTTTTTGGAGGAATTCGAAATGGATTCGCCGGAATTGAACTATTCAAATATATTTTAAATAGGTTTTCACATATTAATGATAATTTTTTTTTCTGTATTTTATCAACTGAAAATTAAAATTGCTTCGAATAGACTTTCTCATATTTCGTCTTTTTCTTTATTTTTTCTCGAAATTTTCTTAAATAAAGGATCAACCGAAATTCATGAATTTTGTCATGGATCTGGACTTTAATAAGCTCTATCCATTGACACTAATTAAAATGCAATTTTTCATACAAATTCGGAAAAACTGATATTTTTCAGAAAATCGATTTTTCAACGATCACTCAAAAAATTATCTTATCAAGTTACACAATACCGTCATGAGCTTTTTATATCAAAATCTCTGTCTCTATTAAACTCAGGTACCAGTCTATTATGTTGAATACTTATTCATATTGATTCACGGTCCCGACTAACTTCTGACAGAACCTGGGTTAAACTCTGGCTAAATCCTGAATAAACCCTGATTAAATCCCGGCTATACACTGATTAAACCTTGATTGAACCTTGATTAAACCCGGACTGAAAGCGAATTCGAGTCTTGAGAGGGTCTGAATGTAGAATCATTTGACAGAACGAAATAATCCGCAAAATTTTGATGACATTTCACTTGATGACAGCACTACGACATGAAAAAATAGAAGAGGAGAATAGTGAAATAAGAATTTTAAAAAAGAGAACCCATTCGGAAGCAATAACTATACTCATTTATAAAAACTGCAATTATCCACCTGTTTTCAAACTGTCGCACCTTCAAAAATGATTTTTCCCAGGCTTTGTGGCTTCAGCACGGGATGCACGGTCGAATAGGGGGTGCAACCCCCGGCAAATCTGTGATGGGCCTGCGAGTGGTGCAGTGTCGAAATATAACTCCAGCGAATCGTCCAGGGGACCCAGATGCCGTCATAGTGTCTCCGGGCACTGACCTGGGTCTGCCACTCGCCCTAGGCAGATCGATAGTGAAAAATTTAATAATGACATTTCTATTCCCAATCTGCTTCTCCCTGTTTTCCTTCAGGTTCAATCGTACTGGTTACGATCTCGCCTGCTCCTCCATCGTCGTGGAAGATCCTTACAGACAACAGAACAATCGAGCCCATCAACGCTGAGATATGCTTGAGGGAACATAAATAACGAACAAAAAAGGTTCAAATTCTATCTCTGTGGAGTGAGAAGATCAGAGGATTTTCTTTCTTTATCATTGGGGGAGGGAGGGGTGTTAACTATTTACAAAGATGAATTGAACAGCAGATGATCCACTGAAGAGTAGAGGAAAATAAATTCAACGAAACAATGTTTTTTTTTTCTGGGAGGAAATTGAATTTTTGTAAATATACAACAAAAAATTCTCGTAAAAATTTCTCTCAGACCCAGAGATATTCACCACAGGTCATGTTGGGGTTTGGTGGACTCATCCTGCTTCACTACTTCACTACTAATTAATTTTTTCATTTTTACCACTTCCACTCTCTTTTCCAAACGCCCCAATTCCCCCTGAAATTAATGATCCAGCTAATCTTCTCACTCCAATCCCACAATCCTAACAAACAAAACAGACTCTAAACAAATTTTTCTAATGTAACATAAGAGAAATCCTCTAATTGTGTACAAAACTATCGTGATACTGTATATAAGAGACAGAAATATATGGAAACTCCTTCGAAATGAGTTTGTTTATTCACCCACAATGAGAAATGCGGTAGGTTTTCCGCTAGGTTTTTCTCTCAAATTTTTTCGTTTTGTGACTCTAACGAACTGCGTTCAAATTGAGAGAAAAACCTAGTGGATTGGCTTGACAATTCTAGAAGATTTCAATTGAATTCGATTTTTCTATACAGTTTATTCTATTAAGATATTTTCTACAAAACTTCTTCAGCTCAAATTTTCCATTTTTTTTGTTTGATTTCCTTGATGAAAAAGAAAAGAAAAATAGAAGTCACCACCTGATTTTTTAATTGATACAAGACAATCGGAAATGAAGAATACTTGAAACGATTATTTTAAATAGTAATTGCGATTTCAAAGTCTCAAATTAAGACTTTCGACGCTCAACTTAAGACTTCAAATTAACACTTAAAAAAATCCTTTTAATACATTTAAGTCTTATCGTCTTAATTAAGTCTAATTGTCCTTTTGAGACATTAGAAATTTTAAATTAAAAAAAAGAACAGCCTTCAAATTTCAAATTTTTTAGTTCTTGAAATAGTGTTTTGAATTATCTCAAATTGAGACGTTTGAAACTCTCAACTAGAGATTTTTAAGCTTCACATTAACACATTTAAAAATCTTAGAAGTGTTAATTAATGTTTACGATATTTGAAATTTAAAAATATGGTATTATTCTTCAGAAGTAGTTCATTATTCTTCATTATCCACCGAACAATCTCATCTATGCGCCTGACAGATGCCAATGCCTCAAAAAACACGAAACGCCAACGAAATCGCATTTGTGCACGCGAAAAAAAAGAAAAAAAAGAGAGCGGCTGAGAGCGTAAAACCGTAATAATAAAAGTGTGGGTGAACCGACCAATGACGTCACTTCCCAGTCAAACGTGGCGGCCGACAGTGCGACAGGGAAGGGAAGGAGTGGCCGTGGCGATCTGTCATAACTTTTCGCCCGAACAATTCCACAAATTTTCCAATTACATGAACATTTTTCTAGTGAACTAAAGTGTGTTAAAGGTGACAAGTTTCTCATTACCGAGGGGATTATCAGCGTTTTGTCGTTACAATGTCGTCCTCGGGTGATTTTGGAAACCCGTTGCGTAAATTCAAGCTCGTCTTTCTGGGCGAACAGAGTGGTGAGTGATTTATCAGGAAATTAATTCCCTTCGTCTCTGGCTTTGTGACATCACTTCATTGTTTTTGATTTTTTTAGCGGGGATTGTTGGGCTGGGTTCGGATGCAGTTGCATGCATTTTTAACATTTTCATGTTCGAGGTTATAAATCGATATGGCTTGAGGCCGCTTCGTCGTGTCCATGTCGCTCTGTCTCTCTTCAGAATGCTCTTGGGGGTTTTTTTGCGAAGGGCTCAGTTCAAGGGTTGAGATTTATCGAGGGGTTCGGGAGGTGCTCCGCGGGTTTCGACTGTTTTTGAGGAGATCCAAGGGTCTTTTACAGTTTGGTACAGAACACACTGTAGATTCAACCATCTTCAATCAAATTTGTCAATTGCGTGAAAAAAATTTGAGAAAATCGTGAATATTCAGCGTCATTCAAATTACATTTGTCACAGAATTATTATTTTTTTTTAATTTTAAATATTTGTTGTTTATAAATAAATCATTGAAATTGTTTATACTTCAGATTTTAGACATGAAATCGATTTCTGGTAAAATTCTGAATATGAATAAATTTGAACGATTGCGAATAAATGATTTTTATGGTGCAAATTAATTGTTTATAAATTATTTATAAATCATAGAAAATGCTCATAATTTTCAAACATTGAAATTTTTAATTATTTCATTAATCTTTCTCCAAAAGTAAAGTTTCTAATTTTTTTTCAAATTTTTAAAACGTTTTCTAACGGTTTTATATCGAGATTTAAATTCAGAGCTGCAAATCGTGAATATTCTGCGTCATTAAAATTACATTTTTCACAAAATTATAATTTTTTTAACATTTGTTGTTTATAAATTAATAATTGAAATTGTTTACACTTTTGGAAACATTTTTTAGACAAGAAATCGAGTTATGGTAAAATTCGGAATAAGAATGAATTTGTTACGATTCCAAACAAATAACATTAATGGTGGAAAATCGATTATGTATAAATTATTTATACAAAATGCTTGTAATTTTGAAAAATTGCAATTTTTTAATTACTTCATCAATTTTTTGCTTCAAAAGTAAATTTTCTAAATTTTTTCAGATTTCGATAATGTTTTCTAAGGATTCAATATTGAGATTCAAATTCAGACCTGCAAAGTTTAAATAATAAAATCATCGTAAAATGTCCCGAAACATGTGGTCAAATGGGGCTCAAATGAAAGCTTTGATATTCAACTACAAAAGTAGAAAAGCACTTCACTGGAGAAAAAATAGCCAAAGTACTTGTGAAATGTCGGCGCTGGGGGACTTTTCGGAGGCCGAGGAGAGCTGTTAATATTGTTCAAATGCGTCTCACGCGATCCGGAGTAATTTATTCAGTTTTTTGTCGACTATTTGGTTGGGGTTTTTTAATTGAGGGGTAATCATTTTTCCACGGGGAAGGTTTTCTGGGTGATCCCTGGGGGCATAGTGAGAGAGAGGGGCAAAACCGACTGGTTAAATCGTTGATAATTTGAGACCAGTAGAGGACAATTGAGTAATTTTTTTTCAAATTTTAGGGGTTTTTACAAGTTTTAAAACGACATTTAATTATGGTTTGAGTGAGGGTAAAATGGACAGCCACTCTCTTTTCAACCACCAGAAAATCCTTTTTTAATAATAAAAAAAATATTTTTTGGAACAAGTAAAACTTGTTTGAGAACTCTGTCGTTCTGTAGTTTTTCTGTATGATAACAGGAGCAAAATTTTCCATCTGTTTTTCATTTTCGAGGTATTTTCCTACACTGAGAATCCACGTGAGAATATTTGTTGGAGTGGAACAGATTTACTTGAGGGAAAATAACCAAGTTGATAGAAGGAAATTTAATATCTTTCACAAAAATTAAACTCCAACTGTTGGCAGGAAAAATCATAATCTACTGAACGACAATCATTTTATCTGAGAGAACTCCATCGGTTTATACCATAGAAAGAATACATTGACAAGAGAAGAATATTTTTTTACCAAAAAAATGGTCCCCTCCAAATTATTTATTTTTACCAATAACAGTTTTCGGCAAGAACATTGTACAGGGTGACAATTAGGAAATTGCCTAAACTAATCGTTTATAACTTTGAAATGAGTGCCAGGAAAAAGAAGAAAAATACATATGAATTGACTAAAAATGTCATTTTTATTTGGAATTAGTTTCAGTTGAATCAGACACTTTTAATTGTCACCCTGTAGTTTCCTCTTGAACTTATCACTTGTTCCATGGAAATTATAAGTGTTTATTGGACAAAGAAACATTGACTTGATAAAACCGGAGTCTCATATAATTCTCTGTAGAACGCAAACAATTACTACTACGAAAATAATCATGTTTTGGTGTAAACTTTCTTTTTTGTCCACAAAAAATTGTGAAAATATGTGAAAAACGCACGTATTTGATTTCCTCGAGATTAAATCCAGAAGGAAAGTTGAGATTAATATCAAGTGGGCATGTAATGTATGCGTACCATTACAGCAACTATGAGGCTTTCATAAACTCATTCTTCGCGGCTTTTATGGTCATGATTATTGTTATAACGGGAATGACTAATAATAAATTGATTAATGCAATAATCAATAAATTGATTTCCATATTTGGGGAAATGGTTTATTTACTGTAATTACTCAAGGTGAGTGAAGTCCCATTTTTCCCCTCAACATCATTATTTTCTACGATTACAACTGAATAATGAACGCAGAAATTAATATTCATGGTTTATGGGGATGAATTATTCAATTGAAAAATCTTGATTTTTCATTTCAGTTGGAAAAACATCGCTCATCACGCGATTTATGTATGACAGCTTTGACAACACGTATCAGGTAGGAATCCCGTTATTCGCCTATTCTAGACTCCACCTGAGCATAACATTTATACTACACATTTGAAGCATATTTGAAGTGAAGAAAACAAAATTTATTGTGGAATGCATTTTTCATTGCCAATGACCACTTCAGTTTAATTTTTCAGTTCTAATAATAATAATTAAAGTAAAGAGCAATAATTAAATTTTAAAAATTTGTTTAATTGTGTAATCATCTTGAAAAATATTATTTTAAGAAACAAAAATGTTGAGAGACAGTTTTTGTTTCTCTTGAAATGTTTCATCTGAAGTTTCATTCGACATTTCTGTCTGAAATAATTAATTGTTGACATAATTCACGATTTAATCATGTAGAAAATAAAAAATTCTGGAATTTCAAACTCCCACTTTTCTTAATTACAAATTTACGAAAAAAATCAGCGGTTTTAGACAACAAGAAAATCATTTGACATTCCCTTTTAAACCTTTTCGTCACTGAGATAATTCAGCATTTAACAAGATCCCAAAAAATCGATTTTTTCTCTTCTATTCTGTCACGTCTCACCACTCCATCCCATAATTTATTCATATATTCATTGATTCCAGGCCACCATAGGTATAGACTTTTTGAGTAAAACCATGTATCTCGAGGATAGGACTGTTAGATTACAATTGTGGGACACTGCTGGGCAAGAACGATTCCGTTCACTCATTCCCAGTTACATCAGGGACTCCACCGTTGCTGTTGTGGTTTACGACATTACCAGTGAGTTGAAGAAATCAATTTATATCTATAGCTGCCAAGTACCATTATTACTCGAATGCATCACAATTCATGTGACGCTGGTCGATTGACTGAACACGCAATTGTTGTAATTGTATGACTTATTGATATAGGAAAATGTTTTCTTTTTTTTCAATGAGAATCCTTGACGACTTTTATATTATTCACGTGATGAATTTGCATTGAAAAATGCAGTTGTTCCACTCACATTTTCCAAACTAGAAAAATTTTAAATCCTGAAAAAAAAAATTGTTTGCAGCCATTAAAAGTCATTTTATCAATTTTTCCCCCATTTTTTTTTATTCAGAGCATTCCAACCATTCGTTTTATTCTGCTAATAAAAATACAAAAATTCAGCTTATATAGATGATATGTTTATACAGTTCTTCGTCAAGTTCTTAATTGTGAGAATTTACATAGAACCCTCAAATACTCAATTGAGAGGAATTCAAGAGAAAATCAATATGTAAGAGAACCTTTCTATTTAAATTTATTTTCCCCATGAGGTAAAACGTAAAAGCTTAACTATTTCATTAAAAGTCTAAAGAATTCAGTAGCGAACTGGCAAAACGGTTCAAGTCGATTTTGACTATTTGCCAGTTTCCAATAAATATTTCAGAATCTAAGGGAGATAGCAAAAATTTTGACAAGATCTTTTCCACAGCACTCAATTCGCTCTACAAAAAAGGCTATTATACAAATTTCGTTATCTCCCTTAGATTTGGAGATATTCTTTAAAAACTCAGTAAACCGTTTTACCACTTCACGACTGAATTGTTCTAAATTCCCATAATGTGTTCAATAATTACATAAATATCGAAAAAAAAATAATAAAAATAATCATAAAGTAATCACAAAGTAATTTCGTATGAATCGTAAAATCTTCTAACAATTTTACTGAACACAGATGCTAATTCATTCCATCAAACGTCAAAATGGATTGACGACGTGCGAACAGAGCGAGGCAGTGACGTTATAATCATGCTGGTTGGCAACAAAACAGACTTAAGTGATAAACGACAAGTATCGCCTGAGGATGGTGAGCGCAAAGCCAAGGAGTTGAATGTTATGTTTATTGAGACAAGTGCTAAGGCAGGATACAACGTCAAACAGGTAATCAAACACTCGTGAAATTTGGTATTGATTTTTCTGGTCGTTGAAATGGGAAATAACATTGAATTCTGATTACTCAGCTGTTCAGAAGAGTAGCTGCTGCCCTGCCTGGCATGGACTCGACAGAAAATAAACCACCAGAAGACAGTATCCTTTTTCCAATAAAAAACATGAATCAAACAATCAAACAATTCTCAAAGAAAAATTACAGAAATTATGTGGAAAGATAGAAATTAACAAAATGTCCTCTCCATCTATTTTCCCCCACGTGTTTGATTAATTAAATGTGAAAGTATATTTTGTTAATTTTTCATTTTTCTGGTGATGTACGTGACTGATGATAATCGCATGATCAATCGAATATTCTCATAGGAATTGTCCGTAGAATTTATTTCCTTTAATTTCTATAATTTTTTCAACCTAAAAGATACTTTTCATTTATTTATTTTTGTGTTTTCCTTAATGTATTATCATTAAAACCAAAATTCGTAGTGCAAGAAGTAGTTCTCAAGGATACACCAATTGAACTGAAAGCATCGGAGAGCAGTTGTGCATGCTAAGAGCTAAATTAAACAAAGAACGGTCCTAAATAATGAAAAAACAAATGGTAGAGACGAAGGATAATTTTTTAATATGAAAGAGCGAACGCTAACTTAATTCGAATTTATAACGAAATGATTGCGAATTTATCGTCGAGAAGAATCAGAGTTGTCTGCTTGGTTTTCCCTGTTTTTCAGTTACATTATTTTCACGCATAATTTATTTTTTCAATCATTGTGAGGCAGGCACTGACTCTAAGAGGTAATGACTCATTTGCAATAAAGTTTATCCGAGCAAGGGTGTAATTTAAATTAAATTATTGCTATTTTAAGAGGCTGGATTGAATCGAGTTCATGATTTTGTTTTGTTTCAATGTGGTTTGAGGTGTTTGGGGGCGGTGAGACGTGATTATTCAAATGTGACGTCTGTTAATTGGACATTTATTCCGGAAATGAGTGAGTTCAGGAGGAGAGATCGATATTTTTTCTTCTAAACGTACTCGTTATCGAGGTAATTGCATATTTAATGGAATGCGAATTTTATTTGTTTCGTCACCTTTTACCTCTTCTACTGAATTATTCAACCGATAATTGAGTCTTTCAGTTGTAATATGACTGACATGAGGGGTTTTTTAAGGGTCTCGATACACGAAGACATGAGTCTGTTGAAAATTACTCCCGAATTCTAGAATTAAATTCAATAACTATTAGCAGATTGGTTTTTTTCATGGGAAATTTCAACTGAAAATATTGACATTTTTAGGGGATTCATTGCAGTTTTTATTCTAATTTTTGTGATAATTTCCGGAATGTGAATACGTTATCAAATTGATAGACTTTTAAATTTGAGGAATTTTTCTGAGGAATTTTTATTAAAAAAAATCGCATGGCAAAATTAAATAATTCTAGTGAAAACTACAATATTTTTCGGATATTTTTGCTTAAAACATTTGATTTTTTACTAAACTTTCTACTTTGTCTACTAGAATGAAAAGAAGACTAGAGTTTTTTACATTTTTATTAAAATTGTTAAAAGCTACCGCTGAAATTTATTAATCGTGTAGTTGATCACCTTTTCGTGCAGCACATCCACCTTTCAGGAATTTTCATCTACATTCTTATAGAAAATACAGTAACTCTCGTTAAAATTACGAGATTATCGTGAAATTTTCACTGGAAATATTTGAATTTTCACTCAATTTTTTCCCCCATTCTACTAAAATTTCACAAAAATTACTAAAATGCCAATTAATTAATCAATTACCAGAATTCATGAGTAATTTTCATCAGATTATTTCCTTCGTGCACTTCAAAAAATATCAACAGACCCATCAAAAATGATAGACCGTTTCGTTAATCCAGAGAAAAATGAGAAATTTATTTTCCAAATGCCTCTGACATTTTTTTCAAGCAGATCCACCAGTCGAAATGACCTCATGGCGATCATTTTCCAATTGTTTATCACGCAGGTAATTGAAACTGAACGAAACAATTGATAAATTAATTTAATTTGCATTTCTTTGGTGCAATAAATCACGTGGTAGCTTATACGCTTTACAAATCCATGAATTCATGTTAAAACCACAAATTTCATCATCGAAAAGTTTCATCCATTAATTATCACTATTATTTGATTTATTTTTCATATGAAATTCCGATTTTTTCCCACTCAAAAAGAAACAATGGATTGAATAATCGATAAAGCTCATATTTTTGACTCAAGTACAATAAATAGCATTAAGAGATGCTTACGCTGATTTAAAAAAAGACTTAAGTTTGTCATTTTTAAGTGGAAATCGTGCTATGGAGACATTGACATTCGATGAATTATTCTTGTAAAATTAACTACAATTAAATCCACATAATTCGATAAATGAATACAATTTTTATAAATGACCAATCCATTTCACTCTAGAATTTTTACAAAATATAAAATGAATATTTCAACTCGTGAATAAATTTTTGTGGCCATTCTGTCGTGCTCAAGGCTCCACAATCAAACGAAAATTGACTCTTTAATGACTAAAATTCATTCGCAGCATTTATTTTCCAATTGTAAATAATTTTTGGGGAATAACGGATTAAAAAGTAACGAAAAGAAATATAAAACATTTAAATGTAGGTAATAATTTATATCATGTCACTTTTTGTTAATTCTTATTGTAATCTATGATTTGTATTAAAAAGTGAAAATATTGATGAAAAAATTAGGGCGCTGATTTGTATGTTTTGCTGGTTCCTTCGTTTTTATTCTTTTCAGGAGTTATTCACTGCCTTTTTGCTTCAAACATTTTTCAGTTTGTTATAAATCATGAACTCATTTGAATGAAATCATATTTTTTATTTTTTTTCAGCGGCTCAATAGTGAAGTGGTAGAATAATGAAGATGAATTTCACCTATTCTTGAAAAAAGTTTCTAACGAAAAATATGAAATTTAAGAAGTCTCGAGTGTAAAAAAAAAAACTTTAAAAAATTTGTTTTCGAAGAAATTTTTTTTTTTTTATATAGAATAAAATTCCCGTTAGGACAAATACATATAGCTTTCGAAATATCGGCAAAATTCATTAAATTGTGGAGCATTCTAGTTTTTGGAAGGAATTTACGGAAATGTTCAGTGGAGAAAGTTGGACAAGTATTCAAAAAAAAAAACTACAGTCAATGTTTGATATAAGATACCTCGCTCGTTGCATCCGAATTCTATGGAATATTCATTTTTACTGAATGGATATTGATAACTAATCAATTTATACGAGTTTAATGTTTCGAATTCGTATAGCCTGCGTTCCCTTTTCTCTCTAAACATAACTCCGCGTGATAGAATGGCAGCTGATGTTGGGGGATTGTTGGGGGACTTGAGAATAATCACTTCTGGACAGCTGAAGTACAAATTATTGAAAGTACGTAAATTAATTGAATTTTAATTAGGCTTTATTCTATTAAGATAATTCTGCGTCATCATTTTAATAATTATAGCGTCGAAGAAAAGAGGTGACCCTTGGGATCGTTTAACCCTTCTGATTACTTCACTTGACTCTCACGTTTGAACTCTTGACCCTTAAGGTCATTTGACCCTTATGATCACTTCGTTCGTCCCTCCCGTTTGACCCTTAACTCCGTTTGATCCTTATAATCACTCTTTTCCTGCTGAAAAATTATCGAGGCCATAGGTATCTTATAGAGAGGTATCTTATATAAAATCTCGATTTTAGTTATCTATTGCATATTTTTTTATCAGAAAGCGCAATCAATCTTCAAAAAAGAATCGGCCAATACCACTTCACTATTGACTGCCAAAAACAATAATTTTTCATCCATAACACTCCGTCCTTCGATCCCTCGAATTACTAAATAAGAAGACATAAAAGTGTAATAAAATAAATTTCGCGAGACCTGTAAATTTGATAAACCACGGACAACAAATGTAAAACAACATTGTAAAAAGCCCAACAAAAAAACACCTTAACAAAAATAATGAAAAAAAAACAGCCGTCGACTTGCAGAATCAGTCGCCGATGCAGAATGGATCGGAGTCGGAGGGGGAGAGTGGCTGCATTTGCTAGGAAGACAATGCTCTCGACTGTGCCCATTAACGAACAAATAACAAAGAATGAACAAAAGAAAGAATACAACCTACTGGCGAAACGTCAATTCTCGTGTGACGTAATGGGAAGAAATTTCATTTTTTTTGTCTCGAGGAGATGAATCTGTAGCTGACGGGTGGGTGAAGGCGAGAAGTCGTTGAAAAATTGAGAAAACAAATTGACGATCCGAATATCCGACGGTGATGTGGATAGTAGGGAATTAATTATCGTTTAAGTGTGCTTGTACTGTTTTTTAGCAATGTGAGACAATGAGAGAGACATTTGAAATGAAAATTGTGCGATTCTGTTTGCGATTGAGGGGAATGGAGGGCTGAGGGGATGAGTAAACTTTCCTTGATCGAGTTTGTACAATTTTTGGAAAATGTCTTGAGGTCCAAGAGAGGTAGCCACACGTTTGAAGGAATTTAACAGAATTTTCTTTGGGATTTTATCAGAATTCTGCTGGAGTTTTGGACGGATTCTATGACAAAAATTCTATTTGTTTCTTGCGCAGATTTTTTAAATTAAAATCGTGCGGAGCGTGCGCAAAATTTCACTTTACGCACTAGTGATGAAAAGTGAATTTCTCAGACAGATGTTATAAATTCCATAATTCTCTTAGATTCAGATCTCTTCCAAAAAAAATCCTATGGTTACGTGAGAAAAAAATTAATAGAAGAGGATAATCTAGGACTTTCTCCAAGAAATTATCTATAAAAAAAATTGATAACTTATTTGCGTTAAATTCTATTGAAAAATAACGCAAAATTATCGTGATTTTGTCAGTAAATATTTGATACGAAATTTCTTCGGAAAATCCCTCATCTATTAAATTTTTCATGCATTGAAAACTCCTCTCTGCACTCAATTCATCCCTTCGTTCCCCTCAATCCCCCGGCATCATTGAAATTGATAATGAAAGGCACTGTGATACAATTGTCTTTGGAACGATAGAGACCCATTTGATACGCGAATTCACCCCACGAGCCCACAATGAGAACAATCGTCCAATTTTCTAACCGAGTCAGGCATGAAAATATTCCACAGAAAAACCTAGCGAATTTGATAGAAAATTGCCCTGAAGTTCTAATAAACTTCTATTGAAACATTTGCAGTAGGAGTTCCTAAACATGAATTCCCCAAATTTTTTACACTCTATTTTCCTTTTTTTTCATAAAATAAATCAAAAAAATATCGTAACAGAGCAAGTTAGATAAAAAAAACGAAGTCTAACATTTTGCATTGAACATTTAAAAAAAATGCAGATGACCTGCGGAATTTTTCAATAGAATAGAAAAACTAATAGAAAGTTCAATAGAAATCTAACAGAATTTCTAGCGAATTCGTTAGCTTTTTCAACGAAATTCTTTCGTACGTGTCATATGGTTCTCTAGAAAATCATCTCTTGATTTTCAATTCATCACGCGCAAAAAAAATTCATAGAAAAACCTAAAGAATTTGATAGAAAACTCTATCGAATTTCTACTGAAAATTCTTCTCGTTATTGGCCTATTCTATTGAAGAATTCCGCAGTTTTATTCCGTGTTTTTTAATAGAAAATGTCCAACAAAAAAAAATCAGGACAATTTGATACTTCTATACCACTTTTTCTATTGCCACATTTTTTATATGAATTTCTGGATCTGATTTTTCTCAGTTTTTTGCATCTATTTCTCTTCTCTACGTCGAATTCGCTAGGTATTTCTGTGAATTTTCTTCTGATTTCCTAAGTACCTTCTATTTGCTACGTAATTTTCATTCCTCAATAATTCTCACGATTAACCATTCCTGCATTCCCGTGCTTTATCGTTCCAAAAGTGTCTTCACTCGGTGACTGCTGCTTCATGCTCTCAGGCAGGCTGAGCACACCGATAACAAATTGTACGATCTCGCATGCGAATTATATTACACTGTGCAAAATAAAAAAGCGTATTTATGGGAGAATATGGGGAGAGAGATAAATGATAAATAAACGCTTTCGAAGGATCACTTGAGCCCCAAGTAATTCTTCAATTGAGGGGAATAAGGGGAAAAATATTAATGAAAATCAAGCAATTGTTATTTCTCAATTATTCTCATTATTTGTTGTTTGCTCAACAGATTTTTTGAATTTCTACGAAAAATTCTACTGATTTTTTCTTCGTTTCATTTAAACTAATCAATCAAACATGTCTAAATAGAAAAAATCCTAGATTCCGATTTTTTTCCTCAATTTTTATTCTATTGAGATATATTTGAAATATTTTCTATTTTTTTTTCAATGCGTTTATATATAATTTATGCACAAAATATCTCAATAAAATAAATTGTATAGAACAGTCAAATCTAGTGGTTTCTCATTAAACATTTCTATTAAAAAAAAGCAAAAAAAATTTGCGATTTTAATATCGAATTTTTGTGCACGACTTTACATTCAATCAAGATCCCTTAATTCCTCTCAATTCCAGAATTGTTACGTTTAATCTAAGAGACTGAATGTTTTTTCGTACTTTCATCACGCCAGTATCTAAGAGTAGTGAATAGAAATGAAATTTGGGCTGTAAAAAAACAGCGATAATTCAATTGCCCGGATAATTGCCCTCGTTTGAGCAAAATGAGGCAAAGAATTTGGTTTTCGAAGTTGAGAGAATTGTTGAAAATTTTTATTATTGAAGAAAATGCAAATTGCCTGTATGTGATGTTGGCTTAAAGATGTGAAACAGACGAAACACCAATTTGCTTTAATCTCAGCCGAAAAATGCACTCTTTTTACGCTAGACAGTGACGATGAGAGAAGAAGGGAGAATTGTCTTCGAGTTTATTATTTATCGTGGTAATGACGATATAAAAATATTTATTCAGTTATTTTCAATTGCACGTATGAAAAAATACGATAGCAAAACAGTTTTGCCAATTTTTATTGAAATTATTTAATTTTGCAGTGTGACTTTTCGATAAATATTCAATTAAAAAAATCAATAGATGTTGATTTCTCGAGGAGTTATTCTATAACAAAATAGGGGTTATAGGAATTCTTGGGGATGAATTTTCCATGTTTTTTCTTAAATTTTGCGATAAAAAATATTAAACAATAGATTTTCTGTAGAAAAAATCTTGAGAGAGTGAGTGATGCGTAAAAATCAAAATCTATTGACTTTTTAAATCAAATATATATTGAAAATTAGTGCAAAATAGACGCAAATTTTCAATTGAACTTGACAAGGAGAACTAATAGAATTTCAATGAAAATGCGGTAAAATTTCAAAACAAATTTTTTTAATACGTCTATTCATTTTGTCCGGATCTTCGGAAAAATTCTCCTCAATTCTTGGTGAATCCGACGCACAATTTGACCCCTCCGGCAAATTCAAAATCGATGAACCCCGTTATGATTTGTATTAACATAGCATATGAATAGACCTTGCAGAAAAACGAAAGGAAAAACAAAAAAAACTAGGGAGTATTCTTTAGCTTGGAAGCTGCATAGTTGTAGCACACGCATTAAGCCACTTGAAACAACCTCATTACTGTTCCATCGTCTATCGAAAAGCAATGGAAAGAATTTCATTTATTACTTCTGGAAAATTCAAACTGGAATTGTATGTCGCATTAAACCAAATAAAAGGAAAAACAGTGAAAAACCGTAATATTGTGTTGACTATCTCCATGATTTTTTTATTTATCATGCGATATGATCGTTGGCTTCTGGAAATATTTTTCGCAACAAAAAATGCGTTTTAATGATGACTCAAAAAATCCAACGATTCCTCTCCAAATATCCTTAAAATCTTAACTCGATCTTAATGCATTCGGATTTCTATTAAAAAAACCTCTACTTTTATTATGCCTCCTTTTCAATTAATTGTTTATAATCATTCTCATTGCAAAAACCAATACGACCGATGAGAATCATATGTCCCAATTTATCAGCTGTTAAATTTTCATATTGCAATAAATGATTTGCTCATGCTCTGTCAAAAATGGTTCTTCTCATTTTTCTACTGAAGCATCCCTCATTTGATTCGAAATAGGGGTTTCCCCGAACTTCCACCCGACGATTCCCGAACCTTTCCGAAAGTGAATCGGCGTGCATTGCACGCCGCCAAATACCATTCCCCAGAACTTCATAAGAATAAACTGCGCCGTGTGCCGACAACCCTTACTCACCCTCATAATTATGTCCGATTCACTGTAAATAACAACACCATGGCTATTGCATTCTGCGGAAAGAGAGTCATCTTGACACGGAACAGTTTCCTCAAGACCTTGAAACGAAGAAATGGATACATCATCCTGTAAGTCGCCTGTGCAACACCCCTTTGGGGTTATGCCAGTACTAACCAAATGTAAAAATAGTCTCGATCGCAATCTTTGTAATTATTTACCGCTGTTTTGCAGTCTCCCAGAGATCGGGGAGGACATGCCGGAGAAAAATCCATTGCTCAAGGAGGATGGCCTCCCTGAATTCAATACATTCACGATTGAAAGATCGATGGCTGCTGTCGGACAGCAGACAGTTCTGTTTGAGCAGGGAATTTCAAAGATTGAGCATGACATAAAAGGTACAGGAAACTGACTAGTCAGAAAAAAAAAGAAAAATAATTTCAGAATGAAAACAAAATTATTGGATTTTATTCTGTGGATTTGAAAATTTAATTAAATGCATAACTTCAAAAACAAAGTTGATTTAAAAAAAATTTTTTTTTTTCAAATTTAGGATTTTTCGAGAGAAAACTTCTGTAACTATTTTAGGAAATAAAATAGCATAGTTTTCTAATTCTATAAGTTGTATAGAAAAATCAAATTATTAAAATTTTTTCTATAGATTTTGTTTCAATTTCAATAGAATATTTACAATTCTATTGAATTTCTATGGAATTTATTATTAGTTTTCGTTCGATTCTATTGAAATGTTGAATAGAAAATATTTTATAGAAAAAGTCAATAGAATTTAATTTTTCTGTAAAATTTATTCCATTGAGATATTGTCTATAGAAAATATTTCAATAAGATAAGTTGTATAGAAAATTCAAATTCTATAGACTTTCTATAGAATATTTTCTAATGCCCCCTCTAATAGAACCGGCCAAAAACCAATGGAAAGTTCAATAGAAATCTAACAGAATTGTCCAGCGAATTTTCTAAGACATGAATTTCCCTCATTCCTTCCTCCCCCAAATAATCTCACTCCCTCTTCCTCCATTCCAGCCACCGACAATCTCGACATAATAAAGCAAGTGCTCCACCCCCTGGAGGACCTCTCGATCCCCCTGGAAACAACCTGGGGTGTGACGAAAGCCCTCTATTTCGGCAACCAGAGCCTGATGCCAACAGAATACTACCTGAGCATTCACAACCGCATGATAAGGGCACAGACCGCCAAGTACACCAGTGTTCCACTCTACAAAGCCTTCAAGAATGCCCTCGCCTCGAAGACTCCCTTAACCGACGAGCAAAGGCGCCTGATCCAGAAGTACCTCCTAGAGGGTCAGCTCAACGGTCTCGACCTAAGCGAGAAAGACGCCCTAGTCCTCAAACACTGCACCTACTCCATCACCAAGAAATCGGAAGCAATGAGGAAGAAGGTGGAGATCTCGACCGCAGTATTCAAGACAAACATCGAAGATCCAGTGATTGTCAAAGACTTTCCCGAGGATTTCCTCCGTCAGATCGCAGTGGACCCGAAGAACCCTCTATCCGGCCCCTGGAAGATAACCCTGGAGCCTCGAATTTACTCACAATTCATGGAAAACTGTCCAGACAGGGAAATCAGGTGTGTAGAAAAATTATTTGCATTTAAGGATATCCTAGTACTTTGGCTATTTTTTTTCGAGCGAAAGGCTTGGCTACTTTTGTAGTGGGACATTAGAGCTGTTATTTGAGCCACATTTGGCAACGATGTTATTAATATTTCTGTTATTTATTTATAAATAACGAACGTGTAAACAAACGATAATTGTGTGCAAAATCTGTGATTTTTTCCAATTTTCCTCATGCAATTCAATTGACAAATTTGATTATTGAAAATGCACTAAACTTCACTTTGGCAATTTATCTTAAATTTTACGCCCACATATGACCCCCATGATTCTTATTCTGCCCCTCGTGACCTTTAATCTTACCCTCATAAACTTTAACCTGACCCTTGTGACCTTTATTTTGACCAAAATGACCCTTATATTGACCCTCGTGACCTTTTGGTTGACCCTCATGACCCTTATTAAAACCCTCATAACCTTTATCTTTGTGATCCTTAATCTGACCCAAATGACCCTTATTTTGACCCTCATCACCCTTATTATGACCCTCACAACCCTTATTTTAACCCTTGTGACCCCTAATTCTTTACTCTTAATTTTGAGTACCAGACTTTCATCACCAGAACTCGATTTGCATTTCCATAACATAGAGAGTTGTTGCTTCTCCTTCCTCTTCTCTCCCTAATTCAAACTCAAATTACCCAGGTGGAACGTCTGGCAGGCGTACGTTGGTAGATCATCGATGCACATGGACGGCAACGTGCGCACAAGTGGGGACCTCGAGAACATTCGTGACTACAGGATGACGCAAGCCAAACTCCTGGGTTTCAAGTCCTACGCGGAGATGAGCATGATGACGAAGACAGCCGGCAGTCTGAAGGCAGTCTACTCAGTCCTGGACCGACTGCTGGATGCAGCGAGACCAGCCCAGGAGAAAGAGCTAAAGGAACTGAGGACCTTCGCCCAAGATCGAGGCTTCGAGGGTGACCTCCTGTGGTGGGACGTGGACTACTGGAGCAGAAAGCACCGCAGGACAGTCTACAATTACAAGGACGAGATCCTCTGCCAATACTTCCCCCTGCCGCAGGTCCTCAAGGGTCTGTTCAGCCTCATCGAGGAGCTCTTCGACGTGAGGATCGTCGAGGGGAGGAAGACCGACGTCTGGCACACAGACGTCAGATTCTTCGACGTTGTGGACCTGAAGACATCTCAGGAGCCCATAGCCCACTTCTACCTCGACCCTTACGCCAGGGAGAAGCACAAGATGTCGCTGGAGGAGGGGGGCTGGATGGTGGCAATGCAGAGTCGAAGTAAAATCGTGGGCGTGAAGCCTCTGACAGCTCTCGTCTTCAATTTCCCCACTCCCTACGCCGATGTTCCCTCTTTGCTCTCTGTCAGCGATGTCACTGAGCTCTTTGAGAAGGTGGGAACAGCCCTCCAGCATCTCCTTACGAAGGTTAATTACGGCGAGCTTGCGGGGACCTCCAATGTCGAGTGGGACGCTGCTGGTGTCAGTGGACACTTCATGGCGAATTGGTGTTATGAGCCTAGGGTCATTAAGAAAATATCTAGTCATTACAAGACGCAGGAGGCACTCAGCGATGAACATGTGGAGAGCATCAGTAGAATCAGGTCGCAGATGGCTGGTTTCAAACTTTGCAAAGAAATTTATCGGTCGAATTTTGATCTTCAGCTGCACGAGTCGCAGGAGTTTTGGGCGAAAATCCAGAAGAAACTTTGGGACAGGCATTTTGTCATTCCTCATGACAGGGATGACTCGCAGATTACTTCTTGGGTTTCCATTTTTTGCTATAATTTGGGGGCTGGGTATTACAGCAATTTGTGGAGCCAGATGATGGCGGCCGATGTCTACAGCGCTTTTGCGGAGGTCAGGGGGGATGAGGGGAAGGCGAGGGAGATTGCGGGGAGGTTTAAGGAGACGTTCTTGGCGCTAGGGGGGAGTGTTCCGGCGGGGGAGGTCTTCAGGAGGTTCAGGGGGCGCGATCCTAATTCTAAGGCGTTGCTCAGGAGTCTTGGGCTGAAGCCGGGGGACGGTGGGGTGGAGTGAGTGGCGGGTGCTGAGGGGTGGGGGCACATGCAACGGGAAATTTCATAGGGAAACCTAGCGAATTCGGTGAAACATTCTAGTGGATGTTTATTGAATTTTGTTATGGACAATGTCCAGTGGAAAATATTTTAGAATTGGATTTCTCCGCACAACTTTTTTTATCGAGACATTTTTCGCAGGAATTTCTCGATATAATTTCCCAAGTTTTTGAGCATTTTCATTGAAAACAAATTGCGCAGATGAGCGGAGCAGAAATCGAATAGATTTTTCTAGCGAATTGAAGTAGATTTTTAAAATATAGAATACTTTGTAGGAAAGCCGAACGAATTCGATAGAAAATTCTATTGGATATGCTTTGAACTGATATTGAAAAATAGAGAACTTGCATGTTTTTGTTTTTTAATCTCAAGTTTCGACCTTGAAGGATTAATTTTTCATTTATAAACATGAGAAATATTGCTCGTTAAGTAAAACGATTTGAAATTGCTAATGACTGATTTCCAATCAATTATGATAACGTATCTGGGCAATACTTCTTTATAATTCTTTTCGTTTAGGAAAATTGGGGAAAACTTGGCTCCATGCAGGTTTCCTATTCATAAATCTAGTTTCTATTCTTGACAAAAATCCAATAGAGTTTCCTAACGAATTCGATAGGTTTTTCTATATTTTTTTTTCGTGCGTGGCGAAAACAAACTGGACGAAGTGGGTTATTGTAGATTTTTTGGGTCTGGGGGACAGGGCTGGCAAGCGAGTTGATTAAAGTATTCTTTATTAGGTATTTTACACACATGAAAGAATTTCATGGAGAAACCTAACAAATTCAATACAAAATTCTGCTAGTTTTTCGTCGATTCTATTGAAAAATTTCGAATTCGCCGGGCTTTTCTATGAAATTTTTTTGTTTGATTGTTTTGAAGCGTTTCTATTTCAAGTTTATCAAGTTTGGGGGTGAAAATGTATTCATATAGTTCGATTTACACTGTTATAACATTATAACGTAAAAATAAAATTGTAACTTTAGAATATATTGTGAATTTCACGAGTTTTCGTTACTAATTCACATGAAATTTCCATTCATAGTAGTGATAAATCAGTTAATTTCTGGAATATTCAATGAAAATGATTGAAAAATGGTAAATTCAGACATCGACTATTGTCGATTATCAATCTATTGAATTCAATTAATTCAATTATGTGATGGTTAATTTTCCCAAGAAATCTGAGAATTTCAACTGATGTAAAAATGATATTGTTGATCTTCAAAATGAATAAGGAATTTCTGACAATGTGGAAGGATCCCGTTAGAAATAGATGATGGAGAAAAAGAAGAGGGAGCGCTGACCCCAGGAATCTGGTGTACAGTTGTATGAAAATGTTTCTAACTCTTGAGAGCGAATTTTTTTCAATTCTCAAGTTCATGAAATCGGTGACGTCTGCTGAAAAATGCATTAAATACATTTTCATCGAGTATTTTTTTGATGAAAAAAAATACTCACTTCTTTAAAGCTTCTACAAATACATATCAGTCATAAAGTCAAATTACACTCAATTTAAAAATTCCCTTAATAAATTGACTGATGAATAAAAAGTGAAGAATCAAAATTTTTCAGTCACAAAAAAATCGAGAATCTTCGGAATTTCATCTGAACTAATCTTTAATCTCTTATTTAAAATAATTCAGAGGAAAAAAAGAAAAATTCCCCTTTCATTAGTTGAACTAGTGAATGAAGCAGTGAATATTCATTTTATTTCAGGTTCTCAAGCGAGAATAAATAAATATAATTTAATCATCCAAATTAATGAACTTGAAATGATCATTTCAAATAGCATTGCCCCACGAATTATTTGAAGTAATTCTTCAAATAGCTTTTTACTGAAATATTGCCCAGCTCTGTACAGAACCAACCAGTGTACAATGACGTGTTGAAATTGTAGAATAGGGCGGAGCCCAGTGATTAATGTAATAAATTTCGTTAATGATGTTCTCTACCAGTAATTGCAGTCCTCAATCCTTAATCAGTAATTTACAATACATTGTTAATGTAAGCATTCTCTTAAAAAATAGGAATTATGGAATTATCACATTCGGTCGTTAGACCACAGCAATGGTAATTATACTTATGAATAGGATAATTATGATGACCCAGTATCCACAGGTCCTGTCTCGGCGATCGATTGCGCGTATTCTTCTCGTTCCATCGATCAGCCGCTCGTCTGTTCGCTCCATGTGGTCTGCCAGGTCGTCAATTAGTTCTGATAAATAATAATTATCAAATCACTTCATCTGTTTATAGACGAAATCTCAATATTGCTAGCTCTAACAGAAAAACCTAGCGCTTTCTTTATGAAATTTTATTCAATTTCTATTGGAACTCTATAAGAATTCTCTTAAATGTTTTATTGAAATAATATTGAAAATTTCTATTTGTTTTCACGCCAATTCTATGGAAGATTATGCAACTTTACCCTGTCATTTTGTTGGGGGATATATAATAGAAGAAAGTTAATAGATTTAAATATTTCGATTTTTTTCTGCTGTATTTTTATTTGTTTCTCATAATAAAATCGAAGAAAAAAAATTGCAAAATTTATGCTCAAGAATTGTTATAGAAAAAATTCCAATGAAGTTACGTAAAAAATCAACACTCACATATCTTTTTCTATAAACAAATAGAATTTAATAGAGTTTCAATAAAAATTCAACAAAATTTCATGGATAAAGTTTTTCAATTTTTACAATTTTATAATTACCATTTTGATGATCCACTTCAGTATGAATTGTCTGGGCAATATTCTTCTGTCTCACAATGACCTGGTACAACTCATCGAGCCCACGATCCTGCTCTAAATCCCAATAATTTGATGTGACAAACATTTTAAGTTCATAAAATAGTGGATTAATTATCATTCAGGGGAGAGTGGTAAAAGGCGTCACTTCCAATCGTAAATATCTCGAGATTATTGTCAAGGTATTTTTCCAAACTTAAAAATGAGATGTGCCTTAACCAAATCGTATCGTTCGATCCGGAGATATTGACGATTTAGTGAGATTCGTTTTGCCTGAACTTTCCCTAGTTTTATTCACCCTGAATGGCAGCTTCGTTATGCGTCTTCAGATCGCTCACGGAGACATTTAAATTCAGGGGAGGATCATCCTCGTCATCATCCTGTCCCCATCCAGTGGTTCCCCCGTCAGCAAATGCAGAGCCACTGGAGTTTATGAGACTCGGCCTGTCCGACGCAGTTGGATTCATCCTCGCGTCGTACAACTGCTTGATCTTGAATGCATTACTTTGGAGCTGTTCGACCTGTCGCCTCCGCCTCTCCGCTTCGTCCAGGGTTCTTCAGGAAGTATTTCATTGAGGAAATTACGATAATGTATCATTCGATTCGATGAAAGCGAATGAGTGGAAAACAAATACATAATTGTATTTTTGTTATAAACGAGTGCAGTTACTGTTGCTGAGAAATTAGCAATTTGCTTCCGAATGGGTTCTCTTGTTTAAAATTCTTATTTCACTATTCTCTTCTATTTTTTCATGTCATAGTACTATCATCAATTGAAATGTTATCAAAATTTTGTGGATTATTTCGTTCTGTCAAATAATTCTACATTCAGACCCTCTCAAGACTCGAATTCGTTTTCGAATGATGCTGTTCTCAGCATTTTTCAACTTGATTAAGAAGCCATTGAAATATACTTTTCAAGCCCTGATTTAATTGCTATTACTGATGATTCTTTCAGTAATCATGAAAAAACCGATTTTCTCTTTCAAATCGCATAAACAATGTGCTGTAGCTCAACAACGAATTGTGCGACCCCCATCATATCCTGATAGAATGAAGAGGGTATTGTTATAAATTTTTTGAGCCATGACTAATTCCATTTTTATGACAATTTTTGAGTGATCGTTGAAAAATCGATTTTTGGAAAAATATCAATTTTTTCGAATCTGTATGAAAAAGTGAGTGCAGATGAATCAGACAATCACATGTGCATTATTTTCTCAAATATCTCGTGGGGAATTGGCTCGAGGGGTTTAGCAATCCGAAAGGATACATAACTCTCAACTTCAGGGCTTCATCCACCTTCTTCCTGAGCTGGGCTATTTGATCTGTGTACTGCTTGAGTTGGAACCGTATGTTCGCTGACAAACTTGCGAATGCCTGGGAAGTCCGCACCTCGCGATCGCGTTGGCTGAGTTGCTCCATGATCTCTCGGAAGAGCCCCTCACATGCATCGTGCTCGACAATCCTACCCCAAACGGCAATATTAGCGCGAACGAAACAATTCAAGAGAAAAACCGGAATTCGCTGGGAAATTATTACATCGTGTGTGGAAAAATTCCGCAACTCATTTGCGTATTCTTTTTTCAGATAAAATATTCAATGAAAAATGGCTTGTACAAAACTCAATAGAATTCGATTTTTTAAGAAAAAAAAATCAATTTATTTTATTTAGATATTTTCTATAGAAATTTTTGCGCGTGAGTTTTCAAAGTTTTTTCGTTTCATTGTTGAAATGAAAAGAAAAGAAAAATAAAGTGGAAAAAAGTTGGAAAATTCATGTCCAGAAATTCCTGTAGAAAATATTTCATTAGAAAAAGTCAATAGACTTCAATTTTTCTATACAACTTATTCTATTATTTCTTATTCTCGATATTTTCTATAGAATTTCATCCACTCAAATTGTCCAATTTTTCCTGTTTGATATTCCTGACGACAGCAAAACTAAAAATCAATAAGAAAAAAAAAATGAAAAAAAAACTTAGAAAATTTGACCCGAGGAAATTCTACAGAAAATATTTCAATAGCACCGTCCAAAAACTAGGAAAGGTGGGGGTAAAATGGACACTTTTGACTTTTTAAAAAATGTTAATGACGGGTTGAAATGTTGATAAAATTCAATAATTTTTTCTTTACTGCAAAGAACAATTCTTTCCCTTTGTGATGAGCCTAAACTGAGCTGAATTGATAAATTTGTTTCTGAGTTATGAGTAATTAAAACAAAAGTCTAAAGTGTCCATTTTACCCCACTCTCCCCTACTCGAAACATCATTAGAAATCCCCTAGAATTCCCGCCGAATTCGCTCCGTTTCTCCATCAATTTTCTTCGCGTGAATCATCAAGATCGACAACAACCAAAACCATTCAATAAAAAACGCACGTCATCACTATTGTCCCCCCCCAAAACGCACAGCGAATTCACGTCGCCCCTTCCCCAGCCGCCAAATCAAGGGTCTCATCATCCCAAAAAACCAAAACCCAAAATCACCCCCTGACGCCAACTGGAGCTGTCGTCCACCAAAACCCCAAAACCCCCAAAATAACGGAGAGGTTAGAAGCCCCCAACATACCACGGATCATTATCCTCAATATAGATAAGCGCCATCCTGGCCCTCCAAGGTCCCCAAAAACTCTTCACTTACTCGTCACCACTCCCCCGCCCTCCGATTGCCCCCAAAGACCCGCGAACTTCTCCAAAAGTCCATAAACACTCCCTCGAACCCGATTGACACTCTTGAGCCCCCCGATCCCTCTGACAGCTGCGCCACGTGGTACCCCCCACCGCCCTCCGGAATTCCTTTCACCAGGCACTCGCGATCATCCGCCATAGTAATAGAATCGCCATAAGGCAGTTCATCCTCCATCGGACCCCAAGATCCCGAAGACGAGCTCCCGAGGGATAAAAAATCTCGTCGAAGTCTTCAGCCGCTCACCACCGGGTACGTCCTCGCCCCCAGAACAAATCGAAAAAAAAAACCCACCCCCGAATATTTAATTTTGCCTCTATTTCTGGAGATTCCAGCCTCGCGGAATCCCATTGGCCGAAGTGCGCATGCGCCGCGTCGCGATATTCCTCGGAGCGGTGAAGGGACGCGTGCGTCAGACGAAAAAAAGAGATAAAATTCCGGAAAAGTGCGAGAGTAACGGAGTAGACGGACAATCCGACGATTTCCATCCGCGAATAGTCTTGCGCCCTCGGTACAACGTGAACTGGATTCGATAAAAGTGGTTGTGTCGCACCTATTTAACCGAAATGTCGGGTGAAAGCTGGCGAATTAATCGAAAAAACAGCAGTTTCCGGTTAATTTTCCACTGATTCGAGGGAAATCGGCGGTTTCGGGGGCTCAATCGGGCTTGCGGGGGACATACACCTCTTTGTGGGTCGAGAGAGGAAAACAGCTTGGACTCGGGGGGTTTAGCATCGTCTTCCCAGATATAAGACTGTCCCAGGTCAGCAGAATATCGCATTTCATCGGGATTTATCGTTTCGGTTTTATCTGTTTCGTCATTCATATCGTCATTAGTGACCGTCTCTCTCTCGTTTTTTTTTTTTGAGAGTGTGTGGACTCTAGGAGAGCCTTCTCTTGTCCTCGAACGGGACTACGTGTTGTTGTGATATGCATATTGATTTTTAAAGCGCGCGGACAACCACACGAGTGTCAATATTCATTGTTTTTTATTGGTAATTTGTTTTTGCAATTTTTGGGAATTTGTGGGGCTAATGGACGTTTGGGTTGCAGCTCGGGATTGGAGGTATGAGCTCTAATGCGACGACAGCTGAGGCTGTCTCGGCAATGACTGACAGTGTCACGCAGAGCAGTGGCATGGGGGTTACCAGCACCATTGCCAGTGGAATCATTGATAATGAGAATAACGAGCCGATTTTTTTACAAACACGAGCTGCTCAGGGCATCTCGGGGGCCTTTGTCTGGCTCGCTCTGTTTATCACTTGCCAACAGGTCTGTATGATGAATTATTGATGGAGGTGGGGACTATCGAGGTGTGGATTCTTGAGAGAAAACGTGGGGAAATTATCAGAACACTTGAAAATTTTTGGCTGGAATTTTAGGTACACTTTTTGGAAATTTTTGTCGAATTTAATTGCCACTGAAATTTCAAGGAATTCGAGGGAAAATCGAAGAGAATTGTGAATTTCGGTTTCATTTTCCCCTGAAATTAGAGAGAAAACCAGAAAATTTCGGTAAATTTCTTCTGGAATTTTTAGGACAGTGACACTCAATGCGATTTACGCTGTTAGAAAATTAATCTTGAAATTTTTAATAACAAATAATTTACATGGAATTTCCATTGATCTTGTTGTTGATTTCCATTGATCTTGTTGTTGATTTCCATTGATCTTGTTGATGAATGGCCGTTTCTGGGAGATGGTGGGAGATTTGTTGGTTGGGTGATTGTGGAATTCAATACCACAAATGGCGTTTGATGGTCAACTGTGAGAATATCTAACGAGGTGGGGAAATCGACTTGACATGCTTCACTTTTTCTTTTCACTAATTGTGGATTTATCTTGTAATTAAGGGGCCGGATATCCTAGCCACTAGACAACACTGGATTTTAGGAGAAAATGTATTCAGGATTTTTTCTGCCACTACAGTAATTCTCTTAAGGATATCCAAGTGTTTTTGCTTGATTTTGTTTGCTTTGTCCATTTTTTCCCCAGTGAAATGTTTTTTGCTTTTTTAATTCTGAGAAAATATAAAGTTTACTTTTGTGGGAAACTTGATGAAATAATTTAAAAAGGCAATTTTTGAAATTACGAGCATTTTCTATGAATAATTTATAAACAATCAATGTCCCACCATAAAAATCATTTGTTTGGAATCGTATCAAGTTTATTCATATTCAAAATTTTACCAGAACTCGATTTCATGCTTAAAAAAATAAGGTTTCCGGAATTTTAAACAACTTCAATTATTTCTTCATCAACAACGAATGTTCAAAACAATAATAATTCCGGGAAAAATCTAATTCCAACGACTGCAGGTAAATATTCATGATTTAAAAAAATTTTCTCACGCCGTTTAATTGAGAATTAATGTTTCTTGGATATTCAGTCTAATTTTAACTCTTATGACATGTAAATTTAATGGAAAAACGTCGCAAATTCGCTAGAATTCGATTGGATTTCTATCGAAATGTTCTCATTCTATCAGGATATTTTTTCTTGAATTTCCTCTGCTCAAATTTTTTGAGTTTTTTCCATTCTATTTAATTCTTTTTTTCATCAAGAAAATGAAACAAAAATAAATTCGAAAATTTGAGCCGAGGAAATTCTATAGAAAATATCTCAATGAAAAAAGTGTATAGAAACATCGAATTCTATCAACTTTCTCTATCGAATATTTTTTTCGATTCAACAGTCAATAAAATAGGCCAAAAACTAATAGAAATTCAATACAATTGTATAGCGAATTCGCTAGATTTTTATATTAATTTTATTCCTGCATCTAATCATAAAAAGCGTATAACCCTACAAACATCAAATTTTCTAAGCTTTTTCCAAGTTTTTTCATTCTATTTTTTTTTTCATTTAAATAACAAAATTAAACGAAAAAACAGAGAAAATTTAAGCCGAAAAAATTCTATAGAAAATATCTCAGTGGAAAAAGTAGTATAGAAACATCGAGTTCTAAAAACTAATAAAAATTCAATAGAATTGCATTGTGAATTCGCTAGATTTTTCTCTTCAATTTTTTTCATGCGCATAATCATAAAAACTACTTGATAAAAATGAATTTCCCACTTTTCTCCACTTCACAACTCGACCCACCCCAAACTCTACGCAACAGCCCCAATAATCTTCAACTCATGACCCCCCAGATCTACCAACACCTGAGGTGGTACACAAATCCCACCGAGCAACGATGGATAGTCCGCATACTATTCATCGTCCCAATCTACGCCACCTACTCCTGGATATCACTCCTATTCTTCAACAGCGAGGGCTACTACGTGTACTTTTTCACAGTACGCGACTGCTACGAGGCATTTGTAATATACAATTTCTTGTCCCTGTGCTACGAGTACCTGGGTGGTGAGGGTAACATCATGTCCGAGATACGTGGAAAGCCGATAAGATCGAATTGTCTGTACGGGACATGGTGTCTCGTTGAGAAGACCTACACCATTGGATTTCTGCGATTCTGCAAACAGGCGACTCTGCAATTTTGCTTCGTCAAACCGGTTATGGCATTTGTCATAATAATCCTGCAGTCATTCGGTCATTATCGTGATGGAGACTGGTCACCCGATGGTGGATACATTTATGCCACTATTATCTACAACATCAGTGTTTCACTCGCTCTTTATGGACTGTTTTTGTTCTACTTCGCTACGAGGGATTTACTGACGCCTTTCGAACCTGTTCTCAAGTTCTGCACGGTTAAGAGTGTCATCTTTCTGTCATTCTGGCAAGGTAATTGTAGTAATTATTGATGGGATTGTTGGGTCGGGAGGAAATAATTTTTTGGGGATGGAAATTTTCTGAATTTTCCATGGATTTTGATCAGATGGTCCAATTTGGACTAGTCAGATTTCATTTTAAGGACATCCAAGTACTTTGACTATTTTTTAGAATATTTTAAAGATATTTTACAATGATTTTGTTCTCTGAACTTTGCAGGTTTGAATTCGAATTTTCAATATTTTTATTCTGAAAAAAATTGGAAAGTTTACTTTTGGAGGAAGATTGATGGAATAATTTAAAATGCGGAATTTTTTAAAATTTACAAACAATTAATTTTCTACCTTAAAAATCATTTTAACAAATTTATTCATATTCAGAATTTTACCAGAAATTGATTTCATGGCTAAAAAATACGATTTCCGAAAGTTTACAGAATTTCATTCATTTATTTAAAAACAACGAATGTTTCTCACGCAATTTAATTGCAAATTTGATGATTGAAAATGGCTGAATCTATATTTGTCGTGTTGATGAGTTTACTGTAGTTTCAATGTGAAAAATGAGGTTCTGATTCTTCAAAAATTTTAAAAATTTAAAAAATCGTCAAATTACATCACTTTAAGGATAATATTTTTATTCGAGTGATGTTGAGAGGATACAATTCACATTCATAACTTTATTCTAAAGTTTGATAGAAATCTTGTGAATGAAAAGAAAAATATTGAATTTCACTCAGTCAAATGTTGATTTTACCCATTTTGTTGGATACAACCACAAACATTTTTTTTTCTGTCAATCAAAAAAAAATTCTCATGTAATTTTCATGTTGTTCACGTTTCAGGAGTTCTTCTCGCTGTTTTTGAAAAGGCAAATGTAATATCACCAGTGATCGACAGCATGGGACATGCCACAAACACAGGAACAGTATCGGCTGGCTATCAGAATTTCCTTATTTGCATTGAGATGCTCTTTGCAGCGATTGCACTGCGTTATGCATTTCCTTATCAGGTGTACGCAGCTGGCTGCGTGACAGACTCGAGAGGCCGAAGTGTCACGATGCAGAGCATCAGCAGTAGCTTGAAGGTACCTCGAGATAGCTAAACGAAAATATCAATACGCGCGAAAAAATTTCATTGAAAAATTTCTATTAAAAATTCTATCAGTTATTGGCTCATTCTATTGAAAAATTCCGCAGCTCCACTGGGCTTTTTTTAATAAAAAAATGGCAAATAAAAACCCTTCATATTTACAGAAAATTTATATTCTTTAAATAAAAATTGATTCATATTTTTAATAAAAAATGGCAAATAAAAAAATCCTGATTTTTATTCGTAAAAAAATTGGTAGAATGTAAAATACTTTTCACATTATTCGTGATTATTTACAGGAAACGATGAACCCCAAGGACATTATGACCGATGCCATCCACAATTTCCATCCCCAGTATCAGCAATACACGCAGTACAGCTCTGGTATGTCTCACAAATCTATTCACGAGAGATAATTATTTTAATTTGTATGTTGCACAGACTGGCCCATTTTTATTTGAATTCCCAATGGAAATAGCACACCATCGAGTCTTTCATTATGCTAATTTAACGGCATGAATGTCCATGGAGCATGTGTGGACAAATTAAAATTCCCCAGAGCCAGGATTGCTTATTTAACGCTCGTTGCTTCTCCTTTTTTTGCTGTTCCATTTGCTTGATTTACGTTCGTCGTTGGATTTTATTCCATCGCATGTCGATGAGGGGGTGATCACTGCGGATAAAATTGTATAACAGGTTTTGAGATTGCAAAACTTCAAAGGTTCGATTTTTTCGGGACTTTCTAAGGCTTGGGGAAATTTCCAGATATCCCTGGGGATTTTGATTCGTTACCTTTTATTTAAAGCGTAAAAAGTATTTGGTAAGACTGTTTTCCGATGAATTTTTTGAAGGACGTCACAGGTTGAAAGAAAAAAATCGTAGTCTCATGAGATTTTTATATTTCTCTCAACATTTTTCAAGATTTCATGAAACATCTATTCCATCTGTACGAGATTTGAATGTTTCTTGGATGTTTGAGGGTCATGATGAATCATTACGTCACTCTTTTGGCAGATGAATTTGTGGGAATGTAAAATTACACAGTAGTTTATTCATCAAAAATATTCAACTAACATGTATCTCACTCCATTTTTTTGCTTACATCACCGCGAGATTGTCTAAGATTTCTGAATTTCTCTCTAAATTTTTGAAGACAACTGGCGGGGTGTTGATGCCCTTATCAGGTTCGATATTTCTTTCTCAATTAATTGTTTATAATCATTCTCATTGGAAAGCAATACGACCCATGAGAATCATTTGTCCTAATTTATTAACTGTTAAATTTTCATATTACAATAAATGATTTGCTCATGTTCTAATTCCTATGCTTACTGAATAAGATTTTAATCATAACTACAATTCAATTCCTTCTTGAACACACTTTAGAGTGTGAATTTCTGGAATTCAATGTTTGTTGATACTCTAGTAAAAGTGCGTGCCCACACTGTTATCAATTTTTAGTTAGTTCACACGGTAATTCAATTAATCTGTTGTTCATCTCATCATTATAATTCCGAGCTTAGAATACTGTCACCTCGTATTTTCAGCACCAAATTAAAAATTAAAACTTCATTTGGAATATTGAGTCACAGCTTCTTTTTATTCACATCAGAAATTTTGTATTTGGATATTAATATTATTTGTTCAAAGTGAAAAAATCGATCATCATTTTCACTATATTGCATTCAGATTTTCCTATCCTTAACGTCAAAAATGTGAGATAATCTCATAATTCTAGCTATTAATTCTAATCAACTTTGTTCGAAGAAAACCTTAGTAAACGCAGTATTAAGAAAGTAGAATTATTCTATTTTCCACTGACCTAAATCATTTGGACAATTATGATTCGTTCATTCGTGTTTGTTAGGCGGGCTTCATACTTTCTTCATTCGATCGAGATGCTGCCCACGCTTTTTTTAGAACAGATTCCATTAATTACCGAGAGAAATTAATATTCGAGAAAATCTAAACAATCGATTCGTTCTGTCCTTCACCCTCACGTTTCACCACTTCCTCTTCACTCACTTCTCTCATGAAATTCCGCTTCATCGTGCACATCACGTCAGATCCCACAGCTAGTATTACTCCCCGAGCACAATGATGCAACTTGCATTGAATTCACCACATGCAAGAGGAAATGACAATACAAACAAAGAGATAACAATAAGAAACGAGAATTAAACATCACCAAATCCAGAGTGAAATAAAAAAAATTCCTCATCTCAAGAGATCATAAAATCTTGAATAGAAGAATGAGAAACTCTGAAGAGTGCCTTTTTGTTTACTATTTTTTCAGACGTCAATACCAACTTGCCGTATGAAAAGCTGTGAGTGCGCGAGACCATCTCGATTTAATATCAAACATTCCACTGGGGGATGTTTCCATGGGAGTTTTATTCTGCCTCAAACGAATGTACCTATTCGTTGAATGAAAAAACATAAACTAATTAATCAGGATAGATGAATAAAGTGATTAATGTGAAGAAATAGTTAAATGAAGTGTCAAAATCGGTAATGACACTTTAGGGGAGATCGGGGTAAAATAAAATATCAGGAAAAACCGCAGTTTAGGAAATTTTTTTTTAGTTCAGGGTCAAACAACCCTTGAGGACCCTTGAGGACGTTTGAGGGTGAAGAGTCAGGTTCACAGAGAAGAAAACAATATTAGTTTTTAGGGATCTGTGCCATTTTTAATTTGACGAGTGAAAAATCCTAAAATCAAGTGATTGCATTCCTATAAAAATTTGGGATAGCAGACGCAAAAAAATTTGATTGGACAACATGACGAATTCGCTAGAAAATATGATTGGATTTCTATTGAAAATTCTGGTATTTTTTCTTTCAACTTTTATGCGCTCTTGTGAAATTGAAAATGTCCGATTGAAGCTATTCTATAGTCTTTTTTGTGGCCTTTTCTATTGAGACATTTTCTATAGAAATCCCTCGGCATGAATTTTCCAAATTGGTTTTAGTCTATTTTTTCTCCTTTCATTTAAAAAAATCAAACAAAAAACTCAGAAAATCAATAGAGCAAGTTGTCTAGAAAATTCTAGTGATTTTTATTTCTATAAAATATTTTTTATTCAACATTTCTATTGAAAAAAAAACGCGCAGAACAGTTGGGGAATTCCTCAATGCGTGAAAGGTCCCTGAAAATTGTGGATCAATTAAAAAATTATGAATATATTCCGATAATGAAAAAACTTCTTTTTCTCTGCCTGCTTGAGCCTCAAATGAATTTTCGTGAAAAACCTAGCGAATTCACTAGAAAAATTTATTCTATTCTAAATCTACTAAATCGATTGGATTCTATCCAACATTTAACCATTTATTTGGATTTATTTGGGCTTTATTCAACATTTTTCATTCTTTTCACCATTTCTGTTTAAAAAAAACGCGCAGGAAAGTTAAGGAATTTCGCAATGCGTGAAAGGTCCCTAAAAATTATGGACCAATTACAAAAATTATGAATACATCCGTAAAAAGAAAAAAAATTTTTTTCTGTGGCTCCTTTGACCCTCAACCAAAATCGCAAGAAACATTTCCTGAACGGATAAATATCCATTTTACCCCACTTCGCCCCATTTTATAACTGAAATTAAATTTTCAATAAGGGAACAGATAAATGTGAATTTACACAAAACTCATGTTCAATTCACTGGTATATAAATAGAATGAAATATTTTTTATTTCTTAGTGTTTATTTTATACAGTTATACGTAAATGTACTTACGGTAAAACGCGATTAACAGGACCATTGTAAAGTAGTACTTAAGCAGTTCTAATTCGAAAGTACTTAGATCAGATTGTATTTTAGGATATGAATGAGCTTTCACAGGAGATTACAATTAAATTTTAATGAAAATGCATTTCAATGTGTACGTGAATTTATCGAAATAACTTAATTAACTGTTTAATCGTGCCTGACTCATTAGCGATGTATCTGGCATGCATTTATTATGAGGAAAATTCTTTGCGAATGGAGGATTGATGATGATGTTAATTAAAGGATTGATCATACTCAGATGGATTTTGAATTTTTTTTTACATATTTTGCATGATCCCCAGAGCTTGCCATATCCTCCACTCATCCTTTGCCATATAATTTGCATGATTTATTATATTTATGGTATTGTCCTTGGAATTTACTAGGGAAATGGTAAAAGACGGTGGATTACGTCGTGAATTACGTCGTGATTATTATCAAATTTAACAAAGTTGAGGCATTGAGAATTGAGAAATTTTTTGGATCTCGGTGTTTTAATGTTAAATTATCGTGATAATGAGTCGTTTTAAGGGAGATCCTTGAGAGATATTTTTGGTGAAGGGTTCTAGTCAACTGTAAGAAAGGTTTGAAGACATTACAAATGGAAATTCTTCAGATCTTATTATTTTAGTCTTGAATCATCTCGATAATGAGAAATTTTTTCTGTCTCACGATTTCAATTTTAAGAAATGAAAAAGGACGATTTTTTCGGACCTTTCCCCTAAAATTACTCGTTTTTACAATTCAAAAAATTAAATCCAATGATGAATAAGTTCTGAAAATCTCATTGTTTTATTATTGAATTATTTTGGTGATAAGGCTTTGGATTGAAAAGGTGAAAATCCATTTTCTATACAGAATTTCATATGCTAATACAGGGTCTAAGCATATTTTCTCCCAAAATCACTTGTTTACTAGATAATTTTAAAATTACCAAAGTAAAATTTGATGAAAAATGAGAATTTCTTTGGATCTCGCGGCTTTAATTTGAGAAAGGAAACTGGAATCTTTTTTCGGAATTTTATTCAGCTATGGGAAAGGCATGAGGGGCTTTTCCACTAAAATTACTCATTTTCACAATTGAAAAAAATTGAATTCAAACATAAAAAATAAGAAATTCTTAAAATCGCGTGGTTTTATTACTGCATTATTTTGATGATAAGGATTTTCAGTAGAAAATGTTAAAATACATTTTCTGTAGAGAATTTCATTAGTTCATAGAAGGTCTTAGCGTATTTCCTCCCAAAATAACTTATTTTTTAGATAATTTTTAAATTAACGGAATTAAATTTGAGGAAAAATGAATGATTTTGATGAGGATTTTTAGAAGAAAATGTTGAAATACATTTTCTACAGAGAATTTCATTAGTTAACAAAAGGCATATTTCCTGGAAAAATCACTCGTTTTTAAAATAATTTAAAAATTACCAAAGTTAAATTTTACGAAAAACGCGAATTTCTTTGGGTCTCGCGACTTTAATGTTAAGGAAAACGAAATTATTTTTCAAAATTTTAATCAGCTAAGGTGTGAAGCTAAAAGGGGTGAAGAGCTTTTCCCCTAAAATTACTCGTTTCCACAATTAAAAAAATTGAATCCACTGATAAATAAAAAATTACTAAAATTTCGTTTTATTTAGAAAATTTCAAAATTTTTAAAGTCATTTTCATTCCAGAGAATAATATAAAGAGGAATTATCTCCTGACATTCTCTCCAGAATCATCGATTCCCGAAATAAACGCAAAATAATAAAAAATATCGATAAAAAATGATGAATTTACCACTTCCCTAATGAATTAACGTACAAAATAGAATAAACCCGAAAGCTATTGAATGAGTCGTGACGTAAACCTCTGTCAGGTGGTACAAAGAACCAACGTGGAATGCGAGTATCAAGCTACGACCCCGATGATCCACAAAATATGCCAGTACCACCGCCCCAAAGACGAAATACCTCGCACCAGCGTGTCGCCACGATCTCCCAAAATTACAATGAAAAGACAATGCTGCTGAGCAGTGACGATGAATTCCAATAGAACACTTGGATTTCACCGATGGAGCCCACCATGACAATGAAAATAATTTAATGAAAATAATGGAAATGGTAAGGACTTGAAACCTAAACCCGAGGAGATTACCGAGAAGAATTCAATATCTCCTGTACTTCAATGGAGTCATTTATTCGCTGCATTTATTTTTCCATAAATAATAGGGAATTTGAATCTCGCTCGAGAATAAATGCGCTAGTGACTAGTTGAATTGAAAAATGTTGAAGTTGGTGTGGATTACGTACATTATTCATTGATAAAATCATGTTTAAAGAGATGTTATTGCGTTGCGAGGTATCATAATAGTTTAGGAAATTATTCATATTGTTTTTTTATTGACTGGTGGTCATCAGAGCTGGGTGGTACTCCCTGAAAATCGAATGTAGAAATATATTCTGGGCAACTAATCTAGTAGCGAAGCGGTGTGATTCAAGGTGATGCAGCTCTTCGCAGAGTTTTCGAGGAATATCTCCGAATCTAAGGGAGATACCGAAATTTTCGTAATTACCTTTTTTGTAGAGCAAAGTGAGGGCTACAAAAAAGGTCATGACAAAATTTTAGCTACCTCCCTCAAATTTCGAGATATTCATTGAAAACTGGGCAATACTCAAAATCGACTTGAACCCCTTTACCGCTCCTCGAATCTCAAATAATAAAAATCAATCACTGGAAATGTCATTCAACTCAGCTGTGATGTGCATCAAAACTGAACGAGCACACGTTGTTGTGAAAATGTGGACCTCCACCGAAGAAAAAAAAATTAAACACATATAATACATTAATTTATTATCTCTCATAAACAATAATTTGATTCATCTCTCATTAATACTTGTACAAACATACCAAAGTACTTACATACTACTAAAAATAAGTATATCTATAATTTTTTCATGATTACAATCAATTATTTATTCACGTCAATGAATTCAGAAAATATAAAGATTTGATTTTTATTTGCTTCACAGCAAAATAATAAAATATTAAAAAAAACAAACACGTGACACGTGAACCGTTGACACGTGAACCGTTCACGATTGAATCTTCCTGGGACGATTGAACAGTGACAAGCTGATGAAGCCCACGAGGTGAAACTTGAGGAAAACGAAAGAATGATAATAAAAATAATTAATGAAGAGAGGATAAATGATACGTTAAATAATTTAGCTTCTGAGCCAACAGACTATCTTCGCGTCCTAATAAAAAACTAATATATGTATATATCGTTAACATAGATTGTATTTACAGAGTAATGAATTTGCGCGGGAGACAATGATTACCGCAGCAATTGATAATTAAGGTCAGTTCAATGGCGAAATGATGAAATGAGAAAAGTTGAGAAAATTTTGATGATTTTTTTGTGCAGAACAGCAGATCTCTTTCAGATTCCAAAATTTTTATAAAAAATTCATCAGAAAAATTCATCACTTGAATAAAACTGATTTTTTTTGTAAATATCTTCAAATCTAAAGGAGACAGTGAAAATTTTATTGACGCTTTTTTTATTCTTTTTATTGCGCTCCAAGATTTCAAGATATTTACAAATAACTCAAAGTAAAATTAAACTCCAAGTTTAGTTCTTGCAAAAGCCCCAGCACCTATTTCAGAGGGAAAATTTTACGACTACAAAAAAGTTGTTTACAAAAACATTATCTCCACCTGAACCTCATCTTGACATTTCGCTACCGAACGAATCGAAAAGAAATGTCCAATAAAGAAAAATCAAGTGGATCTATGTTCGGTCCCTGCCCCCGTACTCCTCAAGAAACACAAATCCCCCACTAGAATGGCGAAGAGAAAAGGACCGAAAACCCCAAAAAAAACCAAACTAAATGTCCGAGATTTTGTTACTCCCCCATATCCAACTGATTTGTTACCCTCCCCTCGAACTCTGTAAGCGTCAAATAAATATTTTTATCTCAATCTCTCCTTACTTCACCCCCGAATCACAGTTGTGCGAATTTCTTCCAGCCATGCCAGGGCCCCTCGCCAGCCTCCCCGCTCCTCCTCTTCCTGACCCTCTTCCCCTTCCCCAGAATCCCCTTGGTGGCGCTCTCCTCCTCAATATCCTGATACCTCAGTTCGTCGTCCATGTACCCCACCACATTATTCTCCTCAGTCGTGTACTTCTTGTACTGTTCATTAACATCCCTCCTAGCAACGGAGGCCCCCGACCCTTTGGAGCTCCCCTGCCTGTACTCGCTGAACGCCTGGCTCTCGAACCCCGCCATCCCGCAGGGATGAATGGGCTTGAACCCAATGGACCTCAGCCTGGCGACCCTGAAGTCCACATCCGTCATGTTAACAGGTACAAAAGCCGAGAGCCCGCCCCCCAGCCTGGCAGAAGCCTCCAAAGACCTCCTCACGCAGTTCGGCCTGAGGATCTCCCCCTCCTGTGTCGTCTGCACCGAGATATTCCTATGAACAATCTCCATCAGATCATCGTCCGAAGCCTCCGACTTGACGTCCTCCAGACTCCCCCACTTGCTCCTGACCCCCCTGTCCCCCGACAGCTCCTCAAAATCCACCGAAGTCGACGCATCCCTCTGCAAGCTGCACTGCACCACAGCATCCACCATCTTGAAGCTCTTCCGCTCCCTCTTCTGCGTGGATTTCTCCATCTTCTTGCCCTCATTCTCCTCAAGCCCCCTCCCCTGCTTCAGCTCCCTCACCTGCTCCATCTTCTCAGCTGCCTTCGCAGTCCTCAAAGCTCTACTCCTGGGAATCCCCGAGGGCTTCCCCTCACTCGTGCTGCCCCTCTTGATCAGCTTCCTCTTCTTCGAGAGATCCGGCTTGGACCTGCCCTTCAGGTGTCTCAGGTTGTCCCGCCTCTTGCTGAACCCTCGCATGGCGTAGGGGAACCTCCGGGTCCTGGGGCCCCTCGACTTCGCCACGAAATTCGCGTCGATCGCCAGCTTCGCAAGCTCACTCTGCCTCTTCCTCGAGGCCTTGGAAAACCCCTGGACCGAGGGCTTGGCACTCTTGCCCTTGTGACTCCCCTCCTTTCGAATCTCCCCCTTCGCCTTCGGCAGGACCGAGCGTTTCAGGTTGGCCTTCACGTCCGTCTGCTTTTTCGAACCAGAAGTCGACCTCAAGGAGTAGAGAGTCCTGTGGGTCTTGCAGGGTTTCGCAGTCGTCTCCGGCATCTCAGCGTCAACAACACCGACATCTGCCTTCACCTTCGGCAAGAGTATTGCTTCCATCACGGGGTCCAACTCCCCAGACGCCTCCCCCTTCCCCTTCTTCGAGAGCAACTCCTCGGAGCTCCTTCGAGGGTCCTCAGCCTCCCCCTCTTTCCTGGGCCCCTCGATTTTCCCCCTGGACTCTGCACTCGTCAATTCGTGGGAGCCCTCACTCCTGGAGGACGTGCTGAGCACTGGGGAGTGCCTGCCCACCCCCGAGCGCATCTGTATCTGCGACTCCTGGACCCTGTCCCTCGCACCGGGCCCAAAGGTGTTGAGGTTCAGGACCCCTGCGCTCGTCGCGAGCCCCTTAACCGGCTTCGAGGACTTGTAGATCCTGCAGAAGGTCATCGGGGTCTTCTTCACGTCGTGGGCGTTCGGCGACGAGTCGTACAAGTCCGTGCGGATGGAGATGTTCGTGTTCTGGAGCTTGCAGGGGGCCCTCGAGGTGCCGAGTTTGGGGGACTCAACCCCCGGCGCGGACTCGCACTTCCTCGAGACGTGGCGCATCACAATTGCACTCTCCTTCGATTGCTTCTCCAGGGGGAGCCTCTCCAGGGCTTCCGCCCTCCTGTCCTTGATCAGACTCTTCGATTTACAGCAGTCCATGTGGCACCGCTGCGTCGCCCTCGACTTGTTCCTCGTCTTCTTCGGCGGGGAGCTCGGAAAGGGCGAGGGCTCCCAGGGCGGCGCCCCCTGGCAGTTCAGCCTGGCCAGGGCGAATCGCAAATCCTTTCGCGATTCGTCGCCCACCTGCCAAAACGAGAGGACGAGGTACAGACCGTCGTAACGGTAACCCGTCTTGGGGGAGAATTTGTTGGTCAGGTTGTAGCCGCGGACTAGTCGCACGGGTATTTGGCTCTGGCAACTGCGGACTAGGGGGTGGCAGGGGGTCGGGCCCGAGGGGGTGGTGAATGTGAGGTAGTCCCCCAGGTCGAGGTCGTTGGCGGGGTTTGAGTGGGGGGTGCAGAGGGAGGACGCCCCTGGGGGGCCCTCGTCCACGCTCTTGTCGAAGGGACGGTGGACCTGATCTCTCGAGAGGTCCATTCGAATCCCCCACCAGGAGCCCGGGGGGAACCCTGGGATTGGACCGTAGGTGGGGGCCATCTGCAATTTTTATTATTGTTGATATAAATTATTATTGAACTAGCGGACTAGCTGATTACTTTGTACTATGTTATTTTATTTTATTTCATCTCTGTTTGCGTCTGCACAACTGAATTAATTTAATTTTATTCGTTCTTATTGGTATTATATGTATTTTTTTTTATTCATATTTCTTTCCTAGAACCATTATGGTTTTATGGGCTCGTTGGTCTGCCTTGCCTCTCCCACTTTTCTCTTCGGTTATTGTATGTACTTTTGTGCCTTAGGCCCGGTTGCAGCAAGTCTTGTTATCCAAATAAACCCCAGGGTAAAATTCAGTAGTGAAGTGGTAAACGGAGATAAGTCGACTCATCTCCCAGTTGGGTTTTTGAGGAATATTTCCAAATCTAAGGGAGATGGCGAAATTTTTGTGATTACATTTGTTGTAGCACTCAGTCGGCGCCACAAAAAAGGTTATAACAAAAATTTTGCTAACGCCTTTAGATTCCGAGATATTCATTGAAAACTGGCCAATAGTCACAATTGACTTGTACCGTTTTACCACTTCGCCGCTGAATTATATCGTGAGGGTCATAATTTTTCAATATTTGACCTGAAGAATAATTTTTTATTTATCCTGTAGCCTTATTTGAATTAACACTGATTTAACCTTGGGATTAAATTCTATTTTTTGTTCTTTTGGGATAAATTTGAGATACTCTCCCCGGTAAAATAATCCATCGAACATCCAAATTTACTTTTTTCTTATCTGACGCTTTCGTTTACCGGAGATAGTGCAACCGGGCCATAATTCACAAGTTACAACATTGAATGAAGAGGAATTCCCCATAAATCACGCGAGAAGACAGATCGACAAACAATTTTCGATAATCATACATAATTTTTCATTTCTTTCTTTTTCTTTAAATTAATTAGCACCAATGATCTGAGAATGTGAACGAATATGAACATTTTACATATCTTTGATCGCATTTCAATGGAACCGAAGAAGGAAATTGCAGAGAGATCGATCATCATCAATCAGTAAAATGAAAAAATCAGTAATCAATAAAATGAAAAAATCTATTTTTCTGTCTTTTCGAAATTTTTCAAATTGTTTTTTCTTCTTAAAAAATGAAGGGAGATTAACATTTTAAAATCCCATGATCCTATTCCGTTCTCAGAAACCGGAAATACGGGAAATGTAGGGAAGGAAAATTAGAAATAAATTTAAAAAATCGATTTTTCAATCTTGAAAATTTCACGTTTTTTTAGTAATGAAGAAAAACCAATGTATTTTCTTTCTATTATCTAATTGCGATGGAAAAAGTGAAAAGAGGAAGAGAAACGAGATCAACAGGAAAACAGAATTTTTAATTTTTCAATGTCTAGGGAAAAATTTTAAATTGCTATATTTTTTCAAATAATGAACCAATGCCCACAAATTCAATTCCTATGCTCACATTTTCATAGAATACATAAAAAAAAATAACAAAGAATTCAACTTAGCGATGAATAATTTTATCGCATTATTATTATGTAATTCCCGACCCAAGGGCAGGAAGTTATTGCAATTACCGAAAATCAAACGTAGAATTTTGATGATTTGTCGAGGATTCGCAACGAAGGATGCAAAATGACGATAATTTTTGACAAGCGTGAAGTAAAAAAAATCAAGTCGTAAATTTGTGATTGTCTGACCATTTTTGACTTGACGGATACCTCGTGAAGCAAACTGATCGGTCAACCTACTCAATCGTCAGTAATTTTTTAAAAGAACGTTCACTAAAAGTCCCCTACATTTGTCTACCGAATTCGCTAAATCTGTCAAATTTTTTCGGAAATGAGGAAATTTTTATTTTCACATGTACTTTATCTTGTGGTCAACAAACAAACATCTATAAAAAAATTGTGGTCGCCCTGGGACAACAGTAACAAGGTGAGTTGTTAGTGTGCGACATAACCTCTCTGGAGGTTTTCTGAGGGAATATCATGTGGAGATGACTTACCTGGGGGTCCTGACGCACTCCTGGAGCGGTCGGAGCATTCTTCGAGGGCTTCTGAGCGTTTTCAGCGTTCAATTTGAAGAAAAACTTGGCTAGTTCGTCCCCTGTGCGAGCGGTTATCTGGAATGATTGAGAGTGAAGATGCTGGGTGAGTTCTGATCGAGGGGTTTTAGGGGAAGAGTTACCTTTCGTGTGCGCAACTTGGAGAGGATCTTCTCGGTCTCCTCGTGGGTGTTCGGGTGGAGGTTCCTGTCGAACCACGTCGGTGCCATTTCAAATTGTTGAGAATTTTTCAGCAACGAAACAACACATTTTTGTTTTTCTTTACGAAGTAAATGGAGGGACATCCCCTCCAAGTGGCTTGGGTCTTGGCGGGGGTGACGCCATTTTGAAGGGGAGAGGTGGAAGTGGCGGGAAAATTTATGGATGGGCTCACGTGGAAACCTCAATAGAAAAATCTAGCGCATTTCCTATTAAAGTTTATTTGATTACGATTCCAACATTAATTTTTTCAGTTTTTTTTCGGTGATACTATTGGAATATTACGAAAAAATTTCATGGAAAAACCTAGCGAATTTACGAGACAATTTTATTGGATTTCTATTGAATTTTCGATTAGTGTTTCGCTGATTCTTTTGAAATTTTCAATCGAAAGTAGTCTATAGAAAAGGTCTATAGAACTTGATTATCCTGTAGAACTTATTCTATTGAGATATTTTCTATAGAATTTCGTCGGATGAAATTTTCCATGTTTTTTCCATTTAATTTTTTTCTTTTCATCAAGAAAAATAAACAAAAAAAGGAAAATTTGAACCGAGGAAATTCTATAGAAAATATTGGACGTTTTTTTCAATAAAAACATAAACATTTTCATTTTAATCAATTTTATAGAAAAAATCAATGAAATTTGGTCTATGCAACTAATTGAGGTATTTTCTGCGGAAAGTGTTTGATATAAATTTTTTAAGTTTTCTTCACTCTATTTTTTCTTTCGTATGACAACAATCTACCAAAATAAAACTTCAATAAAAGTCCAGTAGAATTTTCTATCAAAGGCGTTAATTTTTTCTATGAAATTTTTTCATAGATGTGAAGAGACTGGGAAAAGCAAAGTAGCGAAGTGTTTGTATCTTTATAGTGAAAATCATTTAATTTAGTAAAGAGGTGAAATAATGGTTCAGTAAAAAAAAGTTGAACACCTGTTGATAATTAATTTATTTCCCATAAATAATCTAATTCAGAGATGAAGTGTTAAAATCGGATCAGTCAACATCAAGGTAAGTTTCGAATAAGTGAATAAACCTCGAATTTACTAAGTTTCCATTTGGACATATTTCGTAAAGCACCATGCAAGCCTAAACATCCAGAAAAAAATTACATCACGAGACATTTCCGCAAATATGAATTTAAAGGAAGACTGCAATTACTTCTCACACGTAAGAGTCTCTCCATCAATCCTCTGCCCATACATCATCCCCTCGAGTATCTTCAACGTATTCCGAGCAATCACCCCTAGACAACTAACTTTCCCAAAAAGAGGATCCCGCCTCAATCTAATCGTCAGCAACTTGTCAGCATCGATATGCAAAGTTTCTCGATAGACGAACCCCTCAACCCCCTTGTACTCATGAACATTGATCCGACAACTTCCTTCAACGTACATCAAAAAATCCTCCACCCCATCACCAAAACTCATCACACTTATCGAAGACGGTCTGTAAGCTCTAACCGCTTGACTAATGCCAGACGGATCTTCATAGTCCGCTATGAATATGTAATCTTCAGAGATCGCCTCATCATAATAAACAAATTTTTCTTTCCCGAAGGCCCCAAACCGATAACTCGAAACATTTTTAGTTCCGAAAGGATTATCTGTCGTCCTAACAGCACCAGAAGCCAAGTCCAAATGAAGAGCGAACTCCTCATCGAGAAGCATCACTTCTTTACCCTCACCATTCCCCACGAGCTTGACATCCTCACTCTTCACCAAGTGTGAACTTTTAGGATCCCCAGAGCCCCCCTGAACACCCTCAACCGAATAAAGGAGAACCCTATTCCCAACCAAAACCACAAACTCATAATCACTAATCTTCCTGCCATCCCTGACGCCCCCAAGATCCATCACATGTACCATCTCCTTATCAGTCAATTTCCACAGATTCCCTGGGCTCTTACCACACCCCCTCCTACCAATCGTAACAAAATACCTAGCCCCCCGATAATCAAGACTGATCCACTTCTCAATGACCCCGAAGTCCGGAATGGCCGGTCCCCTCACAAACTCATTTCCTTCGAAGACGAACCCCATCATCATACAGTTCTCGAGACTAACGAAGAGACAATCGGAATCATCAGCCTCGAAGTAGTGAGCGCTGACGATATCCCTGTCAAACTCCAGGACTTGGGCATAATCAAAGAACTTCAGCCGATAGATCTGATCATTCGCGGAGTCCTTCAGGAGCTCGAGGTCTTTGCAGATGCTCTGGAGATCCTTCTCCTTGTTGCTAACGACGGCGTCTAGCAGAGTATTCTTCTTCCGCAGGCTGTCAACCAATTTCCGGACGTTGGTTCCATTCAGAAGTCCAGATTCTGCAACGGGTCCTTTCAGACGGACGTTCCCATCAACCGTCCAAACACCGGAGATGATCTGCGTCATCGGGAACCGAGTGGTGACGGCCAAGGCCTGCCAAGTCAACGGGTTGATCCCGTTGTAGACCCCTAGAACCCTCAGGCTTCCGTTCAAAACCACATCATTCTTGAAAACTAAGTCGCCCGCGAAGGTTCCGTTGTCCTCTAGGCTCTCGAACCTAAGGGGGTCCATCCCGTTGATCAAAGGGGCATCGAGGTCCCGACGGATGTTGACATCCCCCAGGAAAGTGAAGTTCCCGGTCACGTTCTGGAGGCCAGTTAGCTGAAAGCTGTCTGCATAAATCTTCTCCAGCTTTTCGTTGTTGACGGTTCCCTCGATTCTAATGGCATCAGCCGAGATGTTCTCGCAATGGAGCGTGTCGATCACTTTGTCTTTATGAAGCGGGAGTAGTTTGTCCATTTGAAGATCATTCAGTCTCTCAACCTTTATGTTGGAAGCGAAGACAATATCCTTGAAGATCGTCGTTCCCGGTATGTGAACAGGTTGATTCAGGTAAACAGCGCTCTCCACCAAATCGGTGACATCCACCCCCATCATTGTCTTGACGTCGATCTTCCCCTTTACGATTATATCCCCTTTGATGATCACCTCTCCCGAAGCTATCACCCTCCCTTTGACCGGAAATTGTCCGTCCAGAATGACAACGTTCTGGTAGAACTCCTGGAGATCATTCTCATTCAAGCGATGAGTGATCGTCAAGTTGTTCAACTTTACGGAGTCCTTCAGCCGTTTGGAGCCTGTTATCGAGGTGCTCTCACTATCCAGGAAGACGAACAGGGCTGGAAGATTGCTGAAGTCGATGCTCTGGATGGACCCATTGATGAGAAGGTTCTGGATGTCAACGTCTTTGGGAAATTTGAAGTTTCCGTTCAGAATGAATTTCTTGTCTGAGACGGAAACGAATCGCCGCTTGATGTCGTCAAGCGTTACATTTCCGATAGTCTTACTACTATCGAATGTCTTTTCGACTGTTGTCATACCCTTGACGACAACAGGACCAGTCAACACCTGGTGATCATTAGGATTGAGGAAAGTCTCCACAGGGTGTTGATTCCACGAAGCAACAGTCAACCCCTCACAGACGATCGCAGTCATCGTCTTCAGACCTTTGACGGAGATGTTTCTGTCTGTCTTCAGGACAGCATCATCAACGATCTCCGAGAAATGTCGTCCGTTGAAAAGGCCCTTCACCCTCAACTCAGAGATGCTTACGTTGCCGTGAAGAACAACAACTCCCATCTTCTGAGGATCATAGATGTCCTGCAACTTACGATCATTCACCCTCTCACTGCTGATGACCCCAGTAACCATCAGGTTATCAATAGGAACACCTCCACTAACGATCGTGTCATACAAATCATCGAGAGTCTTCCTCTCGCTCTCAAGATCGACCACCGACCTTCCGTCCACTCTCTCCGCGTGCAGCATCCCAGCGTCTAGATTATCAATCTCGAAGTTCCCCAACAACTGCTGACGCTTCGTCTTCGATATCAACCGCGACATGAAGTCTTCACGCTTCATTCCATTGATGTTCTCCGGTGACAGCCGAGAAACGTGTAACTCTTGCGTCACCATCCTCTCGTAAACAATGCCCGAGGTCTTGTTCAGACGCGTCATGAAGTCCTCTACCGACACGTTTCCCTGGAGCTTCTCCATCGTGAGTTGGACGACGATCGGAGGAACTTTAAAGGTCATGACTTTCATGATACATTCGGAGAAGATCGTCCCCAGACGAGTCAGATCTCCTCGAGTCAATTTCCCAAAGGTCACGTTTGCGTCGATCCTTTCCAAATTAGGAAGGTCTTGGCTGGTGTCTGTTGTTACGAATTCATCAAGACGATGACCATTGATCTTGCCATTAGTAATGTAAACATCCGGTTTGATCGTCACGTGACCCTGAAACGTCTTCTTCCCCGTGATCTCCACGCGCTTCTCGTTCTTCTTCACCAAATCGTGGAGCATCGGCCAGGTTTTCTGGTTAATCTCCTCATTGACCTGGATGTTCCTCTCGACCTTGAGCTTGGCGAAGATCGCGGGGGACATGAGTCTTCTAGTTTCGTTGATCAGAACCGTCGACTTTTGTATCTCTGGCCCTCCCGTTATGTTCGCGTCTATCTGAAGACTTCCCATGATCTCCAGATTCTCGAAGGTCATCTTTTTCAAGAGATTCTGATTTCCGTGTAGCAGGATGAACTCTTCCACTGGAGATTCGTTGATCGTCAGCAGATTACTGAGACTTCCGGTGGTCAGGGTCTTGAATTTCTTGTTGGAGGGCATCGCAATGGCGTCTGTACTGCTCTTTAATACGTAGTCTTTTGGATATTTCAGACGGTTTAAGTGGCTGATGTGTACGTAAATGGCTGACACGTGGCCATTGATGATGGTTTCACCGGGAATCCTCACTGCTTTGCTTTTTGATACTACATTGCGGATCAATGTATTCCAGTTCTGGTCATTGATGTACGTGAAATTCAAATCTCCGATGATGACTAGTTTCCTCAGATTTGGAAAGTCAATCAGGTCGTATGAGATTTGGTCTTTATCGAAGATGATGTCGTCAATAGGGATTCCGTTGATGAAGTTTACGTTCAAGGTCGTGGCGTTGATGGCGGGGAAGGTCTTCTGTCCGGAGATGATCATGTTGCTGTCATAGGCGAACAGCTTGCTGAACATTTCGGCAATTGATGAGTTGTTGGCAGTTCCGAAGGAGATGTTGTCGACAGTCAGCTTGTTGACGGTCAGGTCCCCCAGGATGTGGAGGTACCCGGGGAACTCGACTTGTGTGGAGTTCACGGACAGGGCTTTGTTCATGTTGGAGTGGAGGAGATCCAGTTGTCGGTGGAGTTCTTGCATTGCGATCCTGGTTTCGATGAGGTTGGATTCGAAGTCGGCTTGAGTGAGGTCGCTTTGGCCCAAGGATATCATCTGGTAGGGGAGACCTTTCTCGACTACCGCGTATTTTGACTTCAAGTGGGTTATTTGCCAGTGGGCTGTGATGACAGATGTCGTCAGGTAGCTGTCCTTCAGGCGGGTTTCGGTGCCCTCGAAAACTAGGTTTTGCTTTCTCAGGATTTCCTGGAAATAACGGGGAGTGGTGTCAGGATAACGGCGCGAAAGGAAAAATGTACTTCATTAACATCTGAGGAACTACGGATGACCGCAAAGCCGAATAAAAATTCATCTAATGAGTATCAGAATAATTTTGAATTTTAATCGTAGTCTGGTGACCGTAGACTGAGAAAAAAAAGTAGAGCTCTCAGGCAAGTCTTACTTGCGCCAAAAAAATAATTTATTAAAAATTGTGAAAAAAAGGATTTTTTTACGAATTTCGGTAATTATGTTGTTTTAAAAGACTACTATAATTTTTTAGACATTTTAATTGAAAAAGTCTAATATATATTTTTTCAAATAATGAGCATAAAATAATTACTCACTGCTAACTCATCCTTCATCCGGAACATGTGCTCCGTCTCCTTGTAGACTGCTGGTGTTAACTCCTCCAATTTTGTTCGAATTATCACGATTCTGTTGTTATATACAAATCCAACTTTCGGTATGACAGTTATCCGCGACAAATGCAGATCGGTCGTGTCAAAAGGTGGTAGCGAAATCCTCTCGAAGGTGTTGTCCTGCCAGACGAGGCCAGCGATCGAGTTATTCTTCAACTGGACAAGCACTAGGACTTCGTCTCTGTATGTGTCCACCGGGATTGTCTCGATCCAAACGATCTCCTCTGCAACGAATACAGTCGAGACTTTATATAAGATACCTCGAGCTCCGAACGCTCGAGGCCTACCCCCACTTTCGGCATTTTTATCGCCTCCTGAATGTTTAGTTTCGTGGGCTTCTTATAAGATACCTATGGCCTCGATCATTTTTCGACGGGAGAAGAGTGATTATAAGGATCGAACGGAGTTAAGGGTCAAACGGGAGGGACGAAGTGATCATAAGGGTCAAATGACTTTAAGGGTCAAGAGTTCAAACGTGAGAGTCAAGTGAAGTAATCAGAAGGGTCAAACGATCCCAAGGGTCACCTCTTTTTTCGACGCTATAATTATTAAAATGATCACACAGAATTATCTTAATAGAATAAAGCCTAATTAAAATTCAATTAATTTACGTACTTTCAATAATTTGCACTTCAGCTGTCTAGAAGTGATTATTCTCAAGTCCCCCAACAATCCCCCAACATCAGCTGCCATTCTATCACGCGGACTTATGTTTAGAGAGAACAGGGAACACCGATTATATGAATTCAAAACATTAAACTTGTATAGATTGATTAGTTATCAATATCCATTCGGTAACAATGAATATTCCATAGAATTCGGGCCCAACGAGCGAGGTATCTTATTTCAAACCGCTGATCCCTATTTTTCTCCTCTCTATAAGCGCGCGTGGTGGGGGTACAGGGATTCCCGGAATTCTACTCTTCTACTGTCCCTAAGGTATCTTATATAAAGCCTTGACTGCATTTGAATGGTCCCCATTGAAGTAAATGTTGGTAACATACCGTTGAGGATTTCTCTGATAGCCAAATGGAATTGGAACTTCCCTTCGAAATAATCGAGGATCGCCCCGTTGGGCCCAGACGTCCCCAGGTACAGAATGTGTCCGCTTTGGAAGCATGCAAAGTTTTTCAGGCCGACTGATTTCTCGCTGGGTGATGCCTCGAAATAGGCCTCCTTGGAATTCTCATTCGTGTAGTCGTATATGGAGATGTTGTCATGCAGGTGGACAGCGACCATGATTCCGTTGTAGGCTGGACATGTCTTCACGTCGATAACATCAGAGCCTGGTAATCGTTGGCTCAACCTGGATTAATGTAAGTCGAGTGTTCAATAAATATTCTTATTTGAATTTCTTGGGAATTTTCGACTAGTAAAATTTCCATTGAAATTTTAAGGAATTTTGTCATTGAAAATTCATAATTTTATGGAAAAATTCGGGGAAATCATAAATGTCAGTTTAATTAGTTGGGGGAAATGAATGAAAAATTAAGAAAAATTCAGAGAAATGTCCCTAGAATTCCAGATTCCTCTGAGATTTCAAGGAAATTTGATGAAATTCTCGGAATTCCAGGAATTTTTGCAGTGAATATTCATTTTCATTCGAAAATTCATGTAAACTGCGGAACGTGCGTCTTCCTATCGCAAAAAAATTGGGGCCTTACGCGAATTTTCAGAGAAACTCGAAATTCCCTCGACTTTCTCCTCTTAAATCAACTTCAAAGTGTTTTTCCGGAAAATTCAGCCAAACTTTTTCAACAGTGACGCACGAAAAAAATTAATAGAAAAAACTATCGAATTCTAAAGAAAAAAAAATCGATTGAATTTCTATCGAAATTTTTTTTTAATTTCTATGAAAAATTCTATTTGTTCTTTAAGCAGTATATTTTCCAATCAATATTTATGGTTGCAGTTTACAACAGGGGCCACAAATATTATATTTTTTAATTTTCAATTTTTTATCTTTTATTTCTAATTTTTAATTCTTATTTTTTTAATTACTGGACCATCAAGTTACGCTAAGTTGCATGAATTTTAATAAAAATCTATGAAACCAAAAACAAATAGATTTTTAATGCATTTCAATAGAACGTCTCAAAGAAAGCGTTAGATTTTCCTGTCAATTTATTTTACACGTGCGCACCCCCAAAATTTCTCGAGCCCTTACCAAAAATTAGAGAGATTCCCATTGATACTGAATCCCCATATATCGACGTAGGAATAATTGCTCCCTGACAGATTACTCGTTTGGGCCATAGTAATCAGTCTNGTGATTATTCTCAAGTCCCCCAACAATCCCCCAACATCAGCTGCCATTCTATCACGCGGACTTATGTTTAGAGAGAACAGGGAACACCGATTATATGAATTCAAAACATTAAACTTGTATAGATTGATTAGTTATCAATATCCATTCGGTAACAATGAATATTCCATAGAATTCGGGCCCAACGAGCGAGGTATCTTATTTCAAACCGCTGATCCCTATTTTTCTCCTCTCTATAAGCGCGCGTGGTGGGGGTACAGGGATTCCCGGAATTCTACTCTTCTACTGTCCCTAAGGTATCTTATATAAAGCCTTGACTGCATTTGAATGGTCCCCATTGAAGTAAATGTTGGTAACATACCGTTGAGGATTTCTCTGATAGCCAAATGGAATTGGAACTTCCCTTCGAAATAATCGAGGATCGCCCCGTTGGGCCCAGACGTCCCCAGGTACAGAATGTGTCCGCTTTGGAAGCATGCAAAGTTTTTCAGGCCGACTGATTTCTCGCTGGGTGATGCCTCGAAATAGGCCTCCTTGGAATTCTCATTCGTGTAGTCGTATATGGAGATGTTGTCATGCAGGTGGACAGCGACCATGATTCCGTTGTAGGCTGGACATGTCTTCACGTCGATAACATCAGAGCCTGGTAATCGTTGGCTCAACCTGGATTAATGTAAGTCGAGTGTTCAATAAATATTCTTATTTGAATTTCTTGGGAATTTTCGACTAGTAAAATTTCCATTGAAATTTTAAGGAATTTTGTCATTGAAAATTCATAATTTTATGGAAAAATTCGGGGAAATCATAAATGTCAGTTTAATTAGTTGGGGGAAATGAATGAAAAATTAAGAAAAATTCAGAGAAATGTCCCTAGAATTCCAGATTCCTCTGAGATTTCAAGGAAATTTGATGAAATTCTCGGAATTCCAGGAATTTTTGCAGTGAATATTCATTTTCATTCGAAAATTCACGTAAACTGCGGAACGTGCGTCTTCCTATCGCAAAAAAATTGGGGCCTTACGCGAATTTTCAGAGAAACTCGAAATTCCCTCGACTTTCTCCTCTTAAATCAACTTCAAAGTGTTTTTCCGGAAAATTCAGCCAAACTTTTTCAACAGTGACGCACGAAAAAAATTAATAGAAAAAACTATCGAATTCTAAAGAAAAAAAAATCGATTGAATTTCTATCGAAATTTTTTTTTAATTTCTATGAAAAATTCTATTTGTTCTTTAAGCAGTATATTTTCCAATCAATATTTATGGTTGCAGTTTACAACAGGGGCCACAAATATTATATTTTTTAATTTTCAATTTTTTATCTTTTATTTCTAATTTTTAATTCTTATTTTTTTAATTACTGGACCATCAAGTTACGCTAAGTTGCATGAATTTTAATAAAAATCTATGAAACCAAAAACAAATAGATTTTTAATGCATTTCAATAGAACGTCTCAAAGAAAGCGTTAGATTTTCCTGTCAATTTATTTTACACGTGCGCACTCCCAAAATTTCTCGAGCCCTTACCAAAAATTAGAGAGATTCCCATTGATACTGAATCCCCATATATCGACGTAGGAATAATTGCTCCCTGACAGATTACTCGTTTGGGCCATAGTAATCAGTCTGTTATCGTCGTTATACCGGAAGTGGAGCAATCGCCCCACCCGCACCTGGATGGGCCAGAACCAAAATTTCTGGAAGTTTTCTCCAGATAAGATGTACCAAATGAGCTGGTGGGTGTCATGAGCCAACTCAACCGAGAGCACGACAATGATGTCTGATTCATCGTCTCTTCCTGCTGGTGAAGTTCCATTGAGTGAAGTGAACACTTCGAACGTGAGGATTTTTCCGGAAAGGAGGATCCAATGTTGCTTCGTTACGTTAAAGATCTCATTGTCCAAAACATTGAGGACGAACATCAAGGGAGTTGATGCGGCCAGGTAAGATATCCCGTTTCTCGTAAAGAATTTGTAGTGATTCGCTTCGCTGAATAGGTACTCGTTAATTTTGTTGGTGATGTTGACTATTGATAACGCTGAGAAAAAATAGTGAATGCTGACTTCTTCAAGTGAATCGACAATAAGACAGCCAAATTTAAATTTTATTTTATTCGGCTTATTTATTCGATTTTTTACTTGAATTTTTTAATGAGAAAAGAGGGAGAATTCTGTAGAAAAAATATGGAAAGTTTCATTGTCAAGGGATTTTTATAGGGAAATGGAAATCCAGCGAATTGACTAGATTTTTTTATGAAGTTTTTTTGTACGTGAAATGATCAATTAATTAATTGATTTATCAATCAATCGATCAAAGAATTGAGGCATCAGTTAATGAATGAATAACTAGTTAATCACTGTTGTTAATTTTTTGTCAATTTTATGGAAGAATTTCAGTAGAATTTTATGTTTTTTTTTCATAGAAAATGCTTAATTAAAAATATTTTATAGAAAAAAATCTGTTGGATTTCATCTTTCTATATAATTTCTGCTGGTGAGATGTCTACAGTAATTTCTCGACATGAATTGTCCATGTTTTTTCTTTTTTATTTTTCTATTTTCATTGAAAAAAATTAAACGAAAAAAAGAGAAGAGATCTCAATAGAATAAGTTGTATAGAAGAATTGAATTCCATTGATTGCATCCATAGAATATTTTTCATTGAACATTTCTATTGAAAAAAAAATCCACAAATATTCGGATGTTTTCAATGGAATCGGCCAAAAAAATATAGAAAATTCAATAAAAATTGAACAGAATTTTCAAACGAATCCGCTGGGTTTTTCTATGGAATTCTGCAGTGCGTGACGCGATAAATACCTTCTCGATACCCTTCCTTCGATCCAAAATCATACGCCTTCTGTATTTCGCTACTCCATCCCGATTCACTCGAAGGTCGTTCATTTTTTTCCCCCAACAACATTTGATCCAATTTATGGGACATACTCTGAATCTCATGTACATCAAGACATTGTACAAACACAGACATTAAATAAACTAAACTAACAGTAATAAATAGAGGTTTGATCCTGGCCATGACTGATGCTTCACTAAACCAGTGAGCAATGACTCCGATGCCACTGGTTATTACACGCTACAAATCCCTCGACCGTAAATATTTTGAAAATGCAAGGGTATTAATGAAATTCCTGTGAAACGTGAAGGTATAAAATTTATTACCATCGATAGAAAATACAAACTCTCACCGTCTACATCAACTAAGAAAAAAGTCAGAGAAAAACCTAGGGAATTCGATAGAAAATTTTATTTCTATTTCTATTGAACTTTCTCTTAGTTATTGCATTTTTTTATAAAATGCAAAAAACTATTGCATTTTTTAGATAAATGGTTATAGATAGTGTTGCTAATACATTAGCAATTTGCTTCCGAATGGGTTCTGTTTTTTAAATTCTTATTTCACTATTCTCTTCAATTTTTTTATTTCATAGTCGTATTGTTATAAATTTTTTGAGCCTAGACTAATTCCGTTTTGATGACAATTTTTTGAGTGATCGATTTTTGAAAAAATGTCAATTTTTCGAATCTGTAGGAAAAACTGAATTTCAATTAGTGCAATGAATAGTGATTACAGTGGATATTCGTGAAATAAATATTGAATATTGATTGATGCTTTATAAGAAAATTTCGAAAAAATGACACAATTTAAAAATCGAAAATTTTGTCTTTTTAGACTATATGTGGACGTCCCCATGAAAAGGGGCCACTTTGTTGATTCTAGTTTTCAAAATATTCACGTTTTTGTCTCAGCAACTCCCATTTACACTCATGTTAAAGTGTTTTTTTCATCTGCTCCGACGTCATTTTTGACCCTATGAGGATCATTTTGGGCTCAAAATGTGTGGAATATTATAAATATCATCAGAGTACATATAACTCCATATCGACAAAGTGGTCCCTTTTCATGCGGACGTCCATATATTCAGAACAACAGAATTCAATTTTTATTTTTTTACTGAGATATTTTCCACAGAAATTCCTCCGCTCACATTTTCCAAGTTTTTTTGATCTGATCTTGTTAATAAAGATAGAAGAAAAATTAAATGGAAAAAACTTGGTAAATCTATGTCTAAGAATTGCTTTAGAAAATGTCTTAATAGAATAAATTGAATAGGAAAATAAAATTCGCAAGGTTTTTCTGTGAAATTTCTTCGTGCGTGATGTTCTATTACACCAGAGGTGATTATAAATAATTTTACATATTATGCTCTAAACTGTTAAATTACACACTTTCCAGACTAAATAATATATTACATTCGATACTCTAACGGCTAAAGGAAATCCCTAATCTTTGATTTTTTTATTCTTCCATTTAATTACAGCGTTGAGCAAAAATAACAAATAAATCCTGCGTGACCCATGGTATTAATCCATCAGCGGTTGCGTTATGTCTGACATTCTTGCCCCATTACATGTAATATTACTCAATGGGTGACCGCGACAGCTGTGGAATCAACTCATTAATGGAGTGGTGAAACGTAGTTAAGGATGAGGAAAATTGAGATGTTTTTCTCCAAGAAATTCTATTGAATTCCTGTTTTTCTATTGGAGTTCTATCAGAATTTCTGCAAAAATTCCATTTGTTTTTTTTTTGGGACGTGATGGAACTTTAAAAAAGAGTTGATAGATTTGGATTTTTCTAAATAAATTATTCTTTTGGGCGTTTTTCCGTAGAAACTTCTTGGGTATAAGATTTCCCACTTTTTCTCATTCTATTTTTTTTCTCTTGACAAAATTTCACACGCATGAATTTTATAGAAGCAATCCCAATACTATAAATATTTTAGAAAAATCGACTTTTATCAATGTTTTTTATAGAAAAAATATCTGTTTAAAACATACGTCAACGTCGCATAACTTTCAATAAAGTATTATTTCTATTAATTCCCATCATTTCTACTTTTTCAATTGTTCATGAATCTTAAAACCAAGTGATTACGTTAATGTTCAAACGTTGAAACCGGTTGCGTTACGTTTCACCACTTCCTTAGACTCTTGAATCAAGGCACAACTACAGGAATAAATCTGGCTCTATCCCCGGCATTCGGCGAAAATCTGAGATTCACTTTATCCTTGTCTTCCTCACCGACCTCTAAGAAGGTGTTCCAATCGACAAGGAAATACAACCCTGATCGCCTGGGTGTTGGTAAAACGGGATCTGGTGCTGCTGTGGTACCACCGAAGGAGTTTGCGAGGTCCTCGAGACTTGGACCCTCCGTTGATGACGAAGAATTCGGCGTTGCCGGGGTGCTATTCACCACGCGACCAGCAGTATCCGAAGAGTCTCCAGTGGAGTCTGGAGCTGGTGGAGTGTCCGCTGGAGAAGTTGAATTCGGGGCCATTGTACTCTCGGATGGCTCGGATGCGGACATCTCATTGTCACTTGAATCTGGCGAAAATCAAAAGACAAATCAATTATTCATTTTTCTTCTCATGGAAAAAATGAGGGATTATGAGCATTAATCAGTAGCTGATTGATGTAATGAGGTGAATTAACTCGATTGTCTTCATTCTAGGTCATTCTTTATCAAAAGAATCTCATTTCACCAATTCGCTAGTCTAACAAGAGAATCTGACCAATTGTGAATAATCTCCAGTTCTTGATCAGGGCCATCTTTTTATGTCTAAATGGCGAACTTAGTACCTTAGCTTAAAACATGAATGTTTTTTGACAATCCCAAGCAAAAATCTGAGATTACCCATATTTGTTATTGGTTAGGTCTCCTCATTCACCACTAATTTCATCACTTCATAATTCTAGCAACAACTTGAGCAGCAGTGAATAATCTCAAATTCTTGATCCGCGCCATTTTTTAAGCTCTAAACGGCAAACTTAAGACCTTCGCTAATAACATGAATGTTTTTTAGACAACCCCCCACAAAAACCTAAAATCATTCATATTCACTACTTCTCAGGTCTCTCCATTCACACGCGTCATGCCATTATTAGATACCAGAAATCTCAACATACCGTTCCCGTTCAATCTGTTACACACTCGTTATGCAAACCCTGAAACATGCATGTAGATTAGCACGAATCATTAATAAACTCATCCTCCGAGCCCTCCAATTCTGTTAGTCACATTAGTTATCAACCTCTTCATCCAACTCAAACCACCAATGATTCTGTCAATCCACCATTTCGAACTTCCCAAAAGATAAATCATCAATCTCTTAATACCACTCATCGCCACATCCCCCAGATCATCCTGTTCGTTATCCTCGTCCTCCTGTCTCTTCACCTCGTTCCTCAAGTCCTGATTATACATCTGAAGGATCTCCTCGAGGCTAACTGAATCCGGTCCACCCTGAAGAATCTTCGTACTTTTCATAAGTCGATTTGCGGCATTACGGACATCATCAACTCCAGCCTTTCCCTCCTGCACAAGTTTGACTGTATCCAACAGCTCATTAATCTTGTTCTTCTGCGTCTCATCATCGATCTGTACCTCGTGCGGCTTGAAAACATGCAGGGGCTTCCCCGTCGTCCCCTGCAGCTCCATCTCCCCTGAAGCCCTCGACCTCGTGATCAACCCGATATTCTCCAAGATGCTCTTCATGTTATCAGGAACAGCTTCTATCACAGAAGGTGCTTCAGTCGTGGTCTTCATAGCCTTCTTTTCACGAACCTCACCAAGTCCAAATGTAGCCAAAAAGCTTCTCATTTCTTCGTCCTTGATCTCAGAAGTCGGTAGAGGTCTGAACGCCTTCCAAGAGTCAACAGTAGTCGGACGCCTGATTTCTGGCTCTGGCTTTCTAGTTGCCGACACGTTGTCCGGTTCTTTTCCTGACACAGGCAGCCCAAACCTTAGAAACAACGACTGCAGCTCTGGGGAGAGATTGCTGACACCCTTTTGCAGGTCTGATTGGCTGTTATCAAAGGTATTCTGATGCACAATTGATGGTGCATCTGAGATGGTTGATGTCAGTCCGACCGTTTTGCTCGGAATGAAGTTGTTTTCTGGGATCGCAAAGTCCTCGCCGAGAATGTCACTCTGGGGCAATCCAACGAAAGCCTCTTCCGTCTTGATCTTGGATTGACTTGGCTGAAGACCGATAGCTGCAAGCAGATTAGCGACTTCCTTTCTCATCGGTGTTGTCTGTCCTTGAGCAGCTGCTCCCTGCGAAGGGGAAGAACTCAAGGGGGTGACGTACAAAGGAGCTGTAGGTGCGTCATTCATCATCTCCATGTCGGCCATGTTGAAGGTCACTACTTCAGGGACTGCTGTTGTTTTCAATGCGGGTTTTGCGAAGGTGCCTAGTGTCGGGAAAGCTGATATCACGGTTGGAAGGAAGGGCTTGCTTTTAGCAGGAGTCTTCACAGGTTTCTTGGTCGGTGATGCTGTTGCAGGGGCTGTTGTTCGCTGCGGGGCACCGGTTCTAGGTCTAGGCGTGGTGGATGGAGGTGCGTTATACCTCCATTGATCGGATGTCAAGATATTGGTCGAGCGAGTCGTTGGGATCGTTGAGGAGACATAATCTTCTGAAGGAGTTGTTGATCTTTCGGTGGAGCTGGTGCTGTACGTCACTTCCAGCTGCGATTTCTGGGTCGTAAAAGTCTTCTGATTGTTCCTCTTCAAGAGATTATTTTGGTTCAATGTGAATTTCTCTGGATTGTCATCTGCTTTGACGTCCGAATACGAGTTCCGGTGGTTCTTGTGTTCATGGGACGACGCGGACACCTGATTCTTCGAGTCTTCCGGCCCCTTGGGACTAATCAGATTGATATTGCTTCTGGTGGAGGGGAGTGGTTCCTCTTGGATCGATGCAAATGGCAACATTATTTCGGAATCTGGGATTACCTGAACCATTGGCGGTTTTGTGTACAAATCCTGGAGGTCCTCACCTGCTGAGTCTTTGGAGTTGTAAGGCAGGACGACCATTAGGGCTCGTTGATAGTCGGAGCGCATCTGCTCGATGGACTCTTCGTAGTTCTCCATGTCCTTGGATGTGATGTTCTGGAGGATTTCGACTATTTGGCTGCGGGAGAGCCGGGGGAGGTTTTGGTCTGATTTGATCAGACGCTCTACCTCGTCGATCGTCCGGTTGATGGAGGATTCAATCTCGTGTTTTGAGGGCAGCTGGTCCAGGCATCTTCCGAGGGTGAGGAGTGAGAGGAAGTATAGAAGGAGGATCTGAAAGAAGCATTGCATGCAAGTCAGTAGCGAAGCGGTAAAACGGCTCAAGTCGATTTTGACGATTGGTCAGTTTTCAATGAATATCTCGGGATCTGAGGCAGATAGCAAAATTTTTGTGAAAACCTTTCCGTAGAGCGAATTGAAAGCTACAGAAAAAGTCTGGTTGAAACGAAGCTATGTATTTATGCGGCAGCCGGTCGGTCCAATCGACAATGTTCGGGCACCATCGGGAACCTTCGGTTGAGCGTCGCGGAATCGCGATACCCCCGGAAAGTAGTAGAAATGTAGCACTCGAGTAGAACTCACGTACATCAAGTGCATCAACGAATTAAATTTAAAGACAATTCTCAAGAGACTAATCAGTACATTATCAAGCCATTTAATTGATAATGTTTTGAGAAATTTAGACAAAAAAGAGAAAAAAAAAATATTAGGAAATGGACAATCTTTAATTGACGATATCTTCTGACTGAATAATCCGATTTGAGCGGATCACATTCCATTTTGTAGTTTAAAAAAATACATTGAAAATGGGAGGGGGGGATTTGACTCCGCCGTTCTCGACGATCAAAGATGGTTCATTTTATAGAACATGTATCCAAACATTTTAATATGGTTCTTCGAATTGAGTAATTGAATTTTATAATTTCACCGTCGATCTGAACATATTTTATTTCAATGGTCAATGCGACATGTCACATCGACTGTTCATACTTGCCGTTAACACACGCCCTAGATTCCGTTTTTTCAACCGAGAATAATTTCGCTTCCATAATTGTGTGTATAAGAACTGACCGACATTTCGTCTCGACGGGCGATCGAATCCTTGAACCATCTATTCAGATTTCAGCAATAGATCGACAAAAACTTACTCATCATCATTGACGATGCACTGCGCAATTGCCGTTCAATTCTTCTATTTCTCGAGTTTTTTTTTTCATTCGAAATGTTCAGTGGAAAATATTCTGTAGATAAAAACAATAGAATTCAATTTTTCTATAAAACTTATTCTATTGAGATATTTTCTATAGAAATTCTCCGGCTCAAACTTTTCTATTTTTTATTAGTCACTTTTTTTAAGGAAAAGAGAAAAAATGGAGTGAACAAAATTTCATGTTGTGGAATTCCGATAGAAAATGTCTCAATAGAAAAAGCTGTACAGAAATTTTCAAATTCTACAGATTTTTTCAATGAAATAGTTTCCATTGGATATGATTCTTAAAGAAGCGCGCAGTAGAGGTGCGGAATTCTTTAACAGAATCGGTCAAAAAATAATGCAGTTCCCAAAAAAGTCTAATAGAAATCTATACAATTTTCTATCGAATTAGTTAGGGTTTTCTAAGAAACTTTTGCGAGCGTAAACGACCCTTAGATGGTTCAAGGTATGACAGAATTGCTCAATACTCGCCGGGATGCATTCGAAAATACCGCATTCAGTATTTACTTGTTGTTTATAAATACTGAATATTCATAGAAGTAGTGAAAAAGGTCCTTGACTGCCCGAGAAAGTCCATTCGTTGTAACGCAACTGCTTCCAACATCAATATGGACTCTCATTACGCCCCTCATTACCTATCATTACCCTCATCCTGACGGTTTTCCGTCATTGAATTTCAAGGAATCAATTTTCAAGACAATTGGAGATGATCATTCCCCTCCAAGAAGTAATGAAGATGAAATTTACCAACAGTATTTATTTGCCAAAATGTTTTTCTTTTATTTACAAAATATTTCATAGCGATGAGATACATTGTTAAAAATTTTCATGTCCACTGAAACTTCAAGAAATTTTGTTATTGAAAATTTATAATTTCGTGGAGAAATCCGTGGGAACTGGAAATTTCAGTTCAATTATTCCGGGAAAATCAATGAAAACTCAGGAAAATTTTGCGAAATCTCTTCTTGAATGTCAGATCCCTCTAAATTCCCAGGGAATTCCTTCAAAATTACTGGAATTCCAACAATTTTAAAAGAATCTATCAATTCCATTAACTTCTCCTTAAATCGAAATCCATTGAAATTCCCTTTAAATCGAATTCAAGATCTTTTTCCGAAAAATGAACCAAATTTCATTAACAGTTTATGACGAGTTGAAAGAAAACGGAAAATTCTTGGCTTTTATTCACTCAATTCACCCCAAAAAGAATTCACAAAAAATACGTTCCCCTGAGGCCCTTCTAAAACCATAATTGAAAAAAACAAGCCCTAGTATCAACTCGAAGCAATCCTTGACACATTAATGAGAATGAAAGTAACTTTCATTCTTACCCACGTGCCACGGAAATCCTGAAAATCCACTGAAATTTCCTCGTTCTAATGCTCGACAGGTCGAAAGCATGAAATACCGGTGACTAATAGTGCGAAACCGGCATAATCTCCGCCAACTTTCATTGATAAAAATGTAAAAACTTCCAACTGTAAAAATACGACAAAGCGCCCGATGAAAATGCCTCACTAATTATTTCCCTGACAAATGCAAAATAATTTTCCGTCACATGTGCAAGTAACGATTCGTCCGAGACGAACCGGTTGTGTTGAATGAAACGCGTGAAAAAATATAAACTCACCATTGCGGTATATCCAATCGTCCGAAGACGTAAACGACAACTGACTGGAGGAACTGAGGCCACTGCCGAGACCTACTTTCAAACTCTCTCCCTATCTCACCGATTCTCCCTCTGCACCTCCTATATGTACCCTCCACCGATGTCGATTCAATCAGTTCCATCTCCGAGACTCATGAACTCCAAGGTCCACCCGTAGGAGCATTGAAGATTCCCCCGATGTCACTTTCCTTTGCTTTCGACTCTGTGCCGCATGACACGAAAAAAAAATGATAGGTTCTTCATTCAAAAATGTTAATGCCGAGGAAAATGGAAAGTTGGAGCATTGCTGGGTTGAAATCGGGTCGTCAGTGGCATGACCTGGGCGCTGATTTACTGACGTTTTCATTCGGTTTTGAATTCACCCTTAAAGGAGAAGAGTAGCCACTGATGATCAACCAGACTGCTCATACAACATACCATTTACTGACTTTCGGGAAATATTTAGAAAAGAAAGTTTCCAGTTCACCAAGGACTGGTGTATCGAAAGGGGTTTAACAAACAGTAAAGAATACTTTGAATGCTATTACAAGGATCGAGCTGAACTATGGGTTGACAGGAAAAATCGTCCTCGTGAGACAGTGGTCGGGATGAATGCGAAAAGAGCAAATCACCATAGCTCGGCAATAGGTCTGCAATTGAATCTCGATGTTGATCTCGATATTAAGCACTTTGCTTTGCAAATTCCAAAGTGAACTCAGCAGGTATCACAAAATAGTATATTTCGTAACGAGTGCAAAAAAAAACATTTTTTCACGAGTTACGAACAATATTTTTCATCACAATGTGGCGGAAATTGGACTTTTAGGCACGCGGAGCGTGATGAAATAGTATTTTACGATACGAGTGCGTAAGTGTTTTTGCCCCGCGTGTAGCGGTCCCTGAAGGCAAGCGCTACCCTCCCAAGGGTCTAAGAAAACTTTCCCATAAGTGTTGAACCATATTTTTCATCACAATGTGTGTAAAGTGAAATTTTACGCACGCTCCGCGTGAAATGCATATATTTTGATTCCAAACGTAGCATTTTCTTCAGTTGTGTCAGTGGAAACCTGGAGTTACTGTTTTCCCTTCGAATATGGGCGGAATATGAATATTTTGGAATTTTATCATCCAACTTCAACGAGAAGAAATGAAAACAAGCAAAAAACGTAGGCGGAAAGGAATAAAACATTAATTTTTCAATGTCTCCGGAAAGTTTTAAAATTGATATATTTTTGGGAATTATGGAAGAATATCCTTGTCTTTTGATAGAATGAATAGAATGAATGACAGAAATTGAGAATTTGAGACTGAAAATTTTATCGGATTCTAATTTTTAGTGCAGACGGGCCCTCAGATTTGAACGACCTAGGGAATTTCAGTCAGTAATAACCCTGTTGGTACCTTGAACCTGTCGGTTATTCGACTCTTTCGGGAGTATGACCCCTACCCTACCCAACTACTACTGCCGCGGCTACCAGCTGTCGGCATGAAACCATCAACGGAGAAAACGGGCAACTGCATTCATGTAGTATATTTTTATTTTCACGAGACCGAATGCGCGCCACGGGGCGCTGTAATTGTAACAATCATAATTGAAAATCTCAAAATCAAATTAATCATGAATTAAATTTTCCGCCTCAGACGACTAGAACCAATGAAGAATAAGCGTGACGGACTTGCGAGATATCGATAGTTATCGACTTTAAGTGGACGAGATTCGGTGTCAGTCTTACGCTTACGCTTATTCGAGATTTTCGAGATATTTCGGGATCGATTTCTTTTCTCCTTTTTACGATAGGATACTTTTGGGAGGTCTGAATAACCCGTCGCTTAAATAGTTGGAATCAACGTTCACCCGGCTTAAAAATTCAATTTTGGCAAAAGTCAACTTTCCCCCTGGAAAAACGGAAAATTTGACCCCTTGAAAATCTGGAAAAAAAAACTTTTCCAGTTTTCACTTTTGCCACATACTTTTGAGAGTTCTGAATAGCCCGTCGCTTAAATAGTTGGAATCAACGTTCACCCGGCTTAAAAATTCAATTTTGGCAAAAGTCAACTTTCCCCCTGGAAAAACGGAAAATTTGACCCCTTGAAAATCTGGAAAAAAAAACTTTTCCAGTTTTCACTTTTGCCACATACTTTTGAGAGTTCTGAATAGCCCATCGCTTAAATAGTTGGAATCAACGTTCACCCGGCTTAAAAATTCAATTTTGGCAAAAGTCAACTTTCCCCCTGGAAAAACGGAAAATCTGACCCTTTGAAAATCTGAAAAAAAAAACTTTTTCAGTTTACACTTTTTCCACATACTTTTGAGAGTTCTGAATAGCCCGTCGCTCAAATAGTTGGAATCAACATTCACCCGGCTAAAAAATTCAATTTTGGCAAAAGTCAACTTTCCCCCGGGAAAAATCCAAGATCTGACATTTTGACCCTCGTGACCCTTTGACCGACTGTCCCCCTGAAAAAATCCAAGATTTGACACTTTGGCCCCCGGTGAAAAATTTTTTTTTTCAGTTTTCACTTTTTCCACATACTTTTGAGAATTTTGAATAGCTCGTCGCTTAAATAGTTGGAATCAACATTCACCCGGCTAAAAAATTCGATTTTGGCGAAAATCGAGTTTCCCCCTGGAAAAACGGAAAATTTGCCCTTGACCCCGGTTAAGGGTCAAGAGAATATTTAATTAAAAAAATTTTTTTGCTTAAATGGCGTTGTATTTTTTACTGTTTCAGTTTCCCTTATGTTTCATTTTGCACAAGAGAATCATGTGTAGAATGACTATTCAGACATTCAAAATTATTTTACTACCTTTTGAGTGAAATTGTCTTCAGATACACCTTCAAATTAAATGATTACAAAGCTTCCACTCGGAAGCAAAAAACTCTCATTTAATCAAGCCTGTCCAGTTCACTGCCTCCTAATGATGTCATATCAATAGAGCCGATAGACACCAGTGGGAAAATACCTTTCAGCATCACCTGGGCAAAAGTCTAAATAAAAGTGGGGACTTACAACTCTCACTGATCGCACACCGTGCGCCGGCCTCTTTTGGTACCCTCAGTGTGACTGTCTCTCGCTCGAGCGAGAGTTTCTCCAGTTCAATTATTATTTTCGCCTCTTCATAACGAGCATGGAGGATTATCTCGCTATTCAGGAAGATGTGCCTAATTATCATCACTTTTTCAATTTATCTTGTAACGATTATGAGGTGCCGTCAGCGGGGGAGTACATGACTAGTAAGTCGTCACTCATGAGTTTTCTTTCTTATTTTAATCCATTTATTACGACAAAATAAATAAATAAGTTCAGTGGAAAAATGAATGGAAGTTGATTGACGTTTTTTTTTCATCCTCAGGGTCTTTTTATAATCTTTAAGATCAGATTAAATATTTCTCGATTGATTATTGTTTACAATTTCTTCTGTAAAGCGTCAAGATATAATTTTTTATTTTTCATTTTTTTTATAAACCCGAAAATGACAGCAAATTGATTCAACTCGTCGCATTTTCTCCAGTTAATATTGAAGATTTGATTAGAATTTTCATGTGCGAATATTCATTTCATGTTGTTTTGACGAATAGAATTGCATTTTCAATCTCAAGATTTCAAATCTAAATTTTTATTCAGACACTTTTTTATTATAATTTCCGGACCCTTATCACGGTTCATTCAGCTTAAAAAACAGAATTCCTTTATGTACATATTTTTATAAGGATTAAGTATATATAAAGGTAACTAACAGGGCTGAGCACTAGTTCTTACAATTATTTGACAATTTATTTTTTTCTACACATTTTTATTTAGACACTTTCAATTGCAAAAATGAGTTCATTAAAAAAATTCCTTCTTGTTCATTCAATTCGCTTCATTGTACCAAAATATTACTTTTCCCTTTTTCAACAGATGAAATTCAACTCTCAAAATGTATACAATTCCCCTTCAAAGGAATTATTCCATCAAAGAATTTTTCTTTTAATTAAAAAAATGAATTCAAAAGGTGTTTTCTACTAAACTTTAGAATAACATCAAATTCATTCAAACCACATCACCAGGCCAGATCGAAAGCCCCATTGGGTGATAAAATTGCATTTTTAAATCAATAAAAACAAGATAATGCCTCGAACTTCGCGTACACACACACGAAATCGCGCACTCACGCTTGTCTTTGTAATTCAAGTGAAAGTTTCAGCACTCTCGCGCACGAGTGGAGTAACGTCGTGAAATTACGCGATGACGAGGAGACCGCATGCCTGAATAACCCATTTATGCGAGGGTTCTCTCGTTCGGGGGGAATTAACCTGGGCCGAGTTAGCCGGAACATTATATCCATTTTGAAAACGCTCGGACCAGCTTTTGAATCTCCGCGTCATTATCATTAGATTATCGTTCCATGTGATTAACTTTTTTGTTGTTGTTCAATTTTTCTTGCAGGTTTAGGGGTGTTTGGCACGATATTCGTCAGCATCGGGACGATCCTCACGACTGCCACGATTGGGCTGGCATTAGAGGCCTGCTCTCGGGTGATTTTCCAAGTGGAAACCAAGTTCTACAGGACTAATTGCATGTTGGTGCTCTCTGTCTATCCTGTTGCGAGCACTTGCAGTCTCGTTGCGCTGGCTATTCCGAGGTAGATCTTTCCGATGGGTTTTTGCTTCCGCATGGAAAGCTCTATTCACTGCCACCAATTGAAATTCAATTTTTTATAGATTCGAAAAAAAATTTTTTTATCGTTATTTTACATTGCTTCGACCCGGTTAGGGTATACTGCGATGATGATCAAGACTTTAACCCTAGACTGGTCACCATGCGAGGGAATTGCCGCAACGCGTCGTTTTATTCACCTTGCCATCGACTGACTTCCGACTGGTTGACCGGAAAAATTTGAGAAAAATTGAATTCGTCAATTGAAGTATCTGGAAAATTCTAGTATTTTTTTTTCAATATTGTATCCTTAATTCTGGGAGAAAAAAAATTATTTCCAACAGGTGAACAATTTTCTCCCGTGTTAAATGAAATTGCCCGTGGCGCGACGTTGCTGGGAACTCGCTGAACGCGCCCGGGAAGTGTAGAGTGGATTCGGCAACGCTGGAGCCTAAATAACACGGCGGCACTCTCCCGCGAAGGTGACTAAAGTCGCATTTTCCCATCAGGTGACCAGACTAGGGTTAAATGGTTAGATCGCACCATTCTACCCGGCCGGGATTTGAACTCGGAACCTTTCGCATGTGAGATAACGAACTTACCCACTGCGCCAAGCCACCGGGCAAATTCGAAAAGAATGATATTTTTCCAAAAATCGATTGTCCAACGATCACTCAAAATATTGTCATCAACATGGAATTAGTCAGGGCTCAAAAAATTGATAACAAATACCCTATTGATTCCACAGAATTTCGTAAGATCTCTAGATCTCCGAAGATCCCATGTCTAATCCCCTCGACAGCAATAAAAATCCACGCGGGAATATGTGCCGCCATAAATCCCTCCGATCGTCCCAATAAATCTCAAAACTCAAAACAATTCCCAGTTCCAATTTTGTTTCAATTTCCTCATTAGAGCTTGCACGTGGGAATCGTCAACTGTTTTCAACCTCTGGGGGTTTTCACGCGCCCTGAGTTACGACTTCGGCGATAATCAGTGTTTTTTGGGGGGCTCGCTCATCCGAAGGGACGAGAGACGAACGAAATACATTTTGAGAAAGTCCGTGGCTGCGTGCTATTGCGTTGTACACGAAAAGGGCAGATTCCCCTCGCCTTTTTTTCCAAAGGGGAACGCTTAACGAGCAAAGAAAACGAATAAGAGAGAAACAAGTTCGATGTATATTTCTCAACTAATGATCGTGTTCGGGCCCCTCTGGCGCGCCGATAACGTGCAGTCCTGCCGATCGTTCAATCTTTCGACAACTCACATGAGCACAGTTGACACTGGCCCCTCATCCATCTCGAATCGTAGGCTTATCGAGAGGCTTGTGTTTCAATTATCAACTAGATCGACTCTTTCGGTGTGACATTTCGTTTTAATATTTGGAATTATCTGCGTAAATTTATCTGGTAAATTTTCCTGTTTACCCTACTTCGTTCAAGGCAGCAACTTTTTTCCACGCAAAATTTCAATTTCGTCGTGAAAACTGTAAATGATACAATATCCTTAAATTCACTTGAATTTTTCACGGAACTGGAAATTCCAGCGACTTTTTCTCAGGCCACGTCGACACGGATTAATGAGCAATGTAATGAGAGCACTCCGGGATATCCCATTGTCATTGCAGATGATTAAGGAAAAGCCACCGAAAGACAATAACACGTGGAGTCCATAATTCCCCCCCATTACATCTGTCCGACTTGGGCATTATCCCCAAATTTCAACCCTAATGATCAAAAAATTTTCTTTCGGCCCGTTTTTTGAGTGCCATATAATGGGGCCGCTTACAAACTGAGGAGGATGTAAAGAACGAAAAAAGCAGAAAAAAATGAAAATTGGTCTCACCAGCATTACTGTCATTGTCTCTATTAGACTGTGAACCGGTTCCCCTTCCTGTCTATGAACATAGGAAACAGAAAAAAAAACAGTTTGAAAAACGTGCTGTCTTTTGACGCAGCAGGGGAGAGATGGCATCAGTCAATTACGAAATTATGTTCATTAGAAAATTCGGAAATTATGGAGACAGAGGGAATGAGAGAATAAAAAAAATCGTTCGGTGAGGGCCCGTCACTGTAATTTGATATGTTCTATCTCACCTGCGACTAGGATCAGATCTCTGAGAAGTAAAGACTCTTTCAAGACATGCGTGAAGTGGCGAGAAACTTACAGGTGGTGATTGATAATTTTTTTTTTTTTTCGTTATTGGAATGTGTGGGAGGGTGATCAGTTGGGGAATCTAATGTCCAGATGAAGTAGAAATCGTACGGCATCTTCTGATAAGTCTCTCGAGGTTCTTGGAATTCTCAAGATCTTGATATCTTGATAAATCTTGATGGGAATTTATCAATCACATAAAATCGAAAAATCTCACGGGCTTTTGAATAGAGTTTTATTCTTATTAAACTAAAATAATTATTTTTGTAAATGAGGCAAAATCATACTACAGAATTAAAATTATTTTATTAGATGTAAAATTAGGTAACTGTATGGTACAATTTTTCAAATTGTATTATAATTTTTATTATATTAATTATCAGTCAACATTTTCAATTTTTAAAATATTTAGAATTCAATTCATTTGATGAATTGAAAAATCGAATACAGATATTTAGAATTAATTGTTTAATTATAATTGAGAATTAAAAATTGTTATAAAATCTAATTAATTGAATTTAGTTTTTTTTATTGAAAAAATTGCGCCAGTCATGTAAAATATCCCGAAAAATGATTTCCGAAATATTTAAATATATTTTCAATTCTTTCAGAAACATTTTTCTGACCATTTTACATGAATTGTGTAATTTTTTATATTAAAAAAACGAAATTAGTTGTATAGGAGTCGGATTTCAAAAAACTAGCTCGTAATTGTAATTGCCCACTATTTTTCAAAAATCGTGAGTAAAATATAGCAACAAAATATAGCAAAATCCGTATTGGCGCATGGAATAACGAAGAAGTAGTGCTAGAAATTACATTTCTTGCTTTCCGGTAGAGTAAAATTTTTTTGAAAAGACTAAATCTATTTTTGCAACAAAAATTTTCCATCTTCCATTCGAAAGCAATAATTCTTTATTGAGATCAAATGAATCATTACTTGATTGCAATGCAAAATGATTTCGTATCAATGAATTATTCATTCAAACATTTACATTGAGCTAAATATCCCAGCTCATTGATTTAAAAAAAAAATGTGGAAATGAATGGAAAAGTCAGGAATAAACTTTGATCCCCATTTTTTGTCCTGATATCCGTCGGACGGATCGATACATATCTCAGTGGGGATCAGGTCGCAGGGTAGACAGGAATCAGCCTCCATTAACGCTTGAAATTTGGTGCGTGTCGCCCGGTGGCCCTGTCCACCCTCCCCCGGGTGCCTGACAACACCCGAAAAACGACATCACGAGGAATTTCAGTGGCTCTTTGACATTCAAAAAAGCAGAGAAAAAAAAATCCCCCGAGAAAAAAAAACAAAATAAAACGAAGCGCTGGAAAAATAACGAACTCCTTTAACGATTGGCCGATGGTAATCGGTGTATGTTTTTCCCCAGAGCACAACTGCTGACGGAGGCTATAACCCAAATCTCCCTCACGATATCAATGTATCGTCTTTACCTTCTTCTCATCGATGTCGGTAGGAGAAAGGTCACAGGTGTACCACCAATGCTGCTGAGAGTCGGGCCGTGCTGTTGCTGGCCGTGTCTACCATTCCCCAGCCTCCAATTCAATGAGGCCAATTTGTCGTGGCTGCAAATAATCGTCATGCAGTTTCCTATCGTTCAGGTATAATCTACTGCGTCTAGGCGACTCTCGATATCGCTCCAGACAAGGCCCCACGACTTTTCTTCCCCGACAGATTTTCCTGAAACGAACTGTCTCCTCTTTTTCCCATCGATACCTGAGCAAATAATAATCCCTACGAACAGCAAAGTGAATGGAAAAAAATTAATACAAGTCATAATCATGTTTATAAAAATTGAATATTACAAGGACAGTCCACAGAATATTACGTGCAATTCAATCAGTCAAAATAGACAAACAAACAATTTGCATTACGAGTTTCATTAATTTTTTTCAATTCGTCATCGATGAAACAAGACGTCAATTGCAAAAATGAATAAAGAATTACAGTGAGACTGAGGCATTGTGCGACTATACGCGTAAATAACTTATTGAAACTGTCATAGTTGAATGCTTTCGGTCATCACTCAGGTCCGATAGCCGAAGATTATTCCCTCTCATTAAAAAAATCAATACACACTCGAAAATCAATAAACGACTGGGTTATCGTAATTCGGTCGAGGCTTACAAAAGAAGGATAATCCCCACTTATCATTATAATCAACAACTGTTTTGACCAAATGTACACGGAGAGAAATATTCAATAAAAATAATCTTAAGTCTTAATCTTAAGTCATAATACAAAAAATTATGCAGAAATCACACAAACAAATTTACACATTTGCGAAGACATTCTCATCGGTTTTTCGACAGTTCTTCAGAAGAATCAATGGAAAAAAGCTGACTCACACACGAAGTTACGTCTAAACATGAAAGAATGACAATCAATTTCTCTCTATTTTACAAAAGAGGGGGAGAGGACAGATTGAGCCATTAGATTCCGCAACAAAATAAACATCAACCTGCTACATTTTCTTTCCCTTGAGCAAATTTAAACGCAGAAGTCTAGATTCCATTAGTCTCCATTGCGATAGCGTTTGGCCTCGTCACCCATCGCAAACAATTGCCCGATAGATCCAACAATGATTCTGTTATCTCCCAGGGCCTCATATACCTCATTTTCCTCATCATGCACTCGGAAAATCCCATGATTTATGGGAAATACAATGTCTTCCTGCAACCCATCTCCATCAGCAGTATTCTCCTGGCGCTCTACGGATTGAACATCACATTCATGAGCCTCAAGGATATCAATCCTGGTGAGTTGATCCAATGTTTCCTTAATGGGACATCCGGCGGGCTGAAGGCGGATAATAATCTCGCCGTTTGGCTTCTGATGTTCGGGAATACCTGAATTCGGTGGGAACTGGCTTTTGGACCGCGGTTTTTCCCTTTGGGTGAAGAATTAGGAGACATTAGGAACTCCATCCGGCGTTCCTATTCATGATACTGATCTATTCAATTTAAATACGATTTTTTTCTTCCGAATGGAAAATTTATAGCTCAAATTTTAAAGTTTCCAATTTAAAATTGAATAAAATGGAACTGAAAGAATTTTATAACTTTGTTTTAATTCGTTATTTAGTTCACGTATTTGTTTTTGTTTCGATAATTATTTTTTCGTCTGTGTATTTTATGCTGTTTTGTGCGTTAAAAATTACTTTGCCACTTATTTTTCATTTTTAACAGAATTGAGGCTTCGATTGAAGGCGATAGTCACGCAAATGGTGTTGCTTTTTTCAAAACTGCAATTGGCGATCATCAGGGCACTACCAGCTATTGGACTGTTTCCCTGTAATCCACCGATAACACCACAGATTTATGCCAATTGTAAGTTATAATTGTATTTTGTTATAACTCTTCTCGGTATCAGCGACAAAAATTTATACGATTCAGTGTTCCGCAGTAAAATATCTCCAAAAACATTCGAAAATCGTGGAGGCATGTCGCACACAAAATGCATGGAATTTCATAGCAAATAAAATGGTTTTTAAGAAACTAATTTACCACTTATAGTTCTCGAGATATGAACATTCATTCAAATGGTGAAATTTCGTGATCTAAGAATCCTAAAAACATGATCCATAAACCATACGATTCATTCTAAAAGTGTCTACATTTTTTATGCGACGAGTATCGATAACATCTCGACACTTCGAGAAACATTCAACGAAAACTAGAATATTTTTCCACTTCCTCATAAAATTCGAAAAACATCAAGCTTTAAATTCTCGAAGCAACTCCTCCGAAAAGAATCTCCGAAAATTTCAAACAATATAACCATAGGAGTATCAAAAGATGTTAATCACTCCGGCAGGGTCAGTATAAAAGATCCGTTGGAAGTTTTTTACTCATTTTATTTTTCCCTTTTGACACTGATCATGATGACAAGAGNGGGGGGGGGGGGGGGGGGGGGGGTTAAAGGAGGATTGTAACCAGGTCCGTAGTCGTTAAGGGTTAAGACCCATATAAACTCACATTGGAATCGTGATCTTCTCAGGTTTCTTTCTCAATTTCAGTTACCTACAACGCACTGATGCTAATCGAGATGTTGCTGCTCTGCTACGCGGCGAGGCATCTATATACGGAACAAAGAGACGAGAAGGCGGACGGGACGTCCACAGTACCTGAGGAGCATCGCTTGAAGACTGAATTAACAAATGGAAATATCGTTAGACAGAATAATATTAATAATAATAATAATAATGATAATAATAATGGGCGTGTGCAGGTGCCCGTTGGAGTGGCAAACATGGGGTTCCAGTGAAAAATTGACGAGTTGTAAAAAAAATTCATCGAGACTAAGAACGAAACGGAATTATTTATTGAAAAATGGGAAAACTTGTAATTCCGACAATGCTCAAGGGAAGACGAAGATTTGATGATATAGGCCCCTTTCTTCAAAGAGAAATGAGGGAAGAGGTGAAGGACGGAGAAGTGGCTGGACGCACTTGAGAATTTTTCCTACCGTTCCTTATTTCCATATTGAGTCACCACTCGTCGAAGAGAACACTACAAGCTACCTGAACTCTTTCCAGACGTCAGTCTGCTGAGTTACCTTTTATTTTATGCACATTTAATCACGGAATATCATTGGATTGTCAGGCGTGATGTGGAATTAATTATCAAGTTTTGTACGGTTTAAATAAACGTCGATGGTTGTCTTAAAAATAAAATATGGTGAGATAAAAACGAAGAAGTTCTTGAATGGGTCTTGTTTGGGCCAATAAACGTTAGTTGAAAATTACCAAAAAATGACTGTTTTTTTTTTTTTTTTTTTTTTTTTTTTTTTTTTTTTTTTTTTTTTTTTTTTTTTTTTTTTTTTTTTTTTTTTTTTTTTTTTTTTTTTTTTTTTTTTTTTTTTTTTTTTTTTTTTTTTTTTTTTTTTTTTTTTTTTTTTTTTTTTTTTTTTTTTTTTTTTTTTTTTTTTTNGATTTTTTTTGGTTTAAGTAAGACTTGTTTGGGAAGTCAGCTGTTTTTCTCTCAGCGTACGGTGAGGCCGTTGAGTATGTGATTTCAGGCGAGTGGCCAAACATAGTTGTAATTCATGTTACTCGATGTGCCAAATGCGGATCTGTAACTCATTTTGCTGACTCAACTCATTTCCGAAAAACGGTTGGAAGTAGGAAAAACGAGTCGAGTGAAAAATTATCATCTCATTAAAATCAACTCACTTGCTGGACTCCAATTGCGAAATCTTAGTACTAAGGGGAGTGTAATTGTGCATTGGAGTGTCAACGTAAGGTTCTAGTGAAGAATTGCTCAATTTAAAAAATTGTCGTCGAAACTCAGAAAAGAACGGGATAATCTATTGAAAAATGGCCCGAAAAATTGTCATTCCGACAATGCTCAGGTGAAGACAAAGATTTGATGTTATAGGCCCCTTCTCCGAAGAGAGATGGGTCAAGCGACAAGAGACAGAGAGGAGGATGGACGATTTTGAAAATTGTTTCCGACCCCTCCTTATTATACCACTCTGCCTTCACCTCTCGCATGACAAATTGGGATATCCCCGATGTGTCCTCAACCGTGGTAAAAGATGCCCAGCCCGAGATGATGCGTGGGGTGAATTGATAATATATTTTTATTCCCAAGAAAAGATTCTTTTTTATTCAACAATAAATTTTATGCCCAGTGTCTTTGTTTAGGACACGACGTGGGATGGAAAAGAACATTTTATTTTTACGTCTTTTTTTTCGGACGTTTCGGGGAGACGTGTGAAAATACTTATGAAGTGTTTTCACGAGAGCAATAATGAAAGGAAAAGGGGGAGTTGTGTGTAACTACTGGTCCATTCGATGGTACTGTATACATAAAGAGCACTCGAGGTGGTGCCCTACCCATTGGGTGGATGAGGGCTCTTCGGTGCAATCCACGAGACGCAACACGTGCCGTAGCCGTTGTGTAAGTGTAAACAGACGCTGGAATGCATCGTCATGGCGAGATGCCAGCTTGACGAGTCACAGGCCTTCCAGTGTTCTAGGGATGGAACTTTGTTCGTGACCATTCCTTCGGAAAATTGAAGGGAATAAATTTGCTTTTCAGTTTTGGAAATTGCGTTTGAGATTTTTTAATCTGTGGGAAGCTCGTGAGAGTCCAAAGAAAATTAACAGCATCAATTATCACCTTTCGGGTATCCATAGATTTTTATTAACAATCTCGTACAGCAAGACAATTGAAAGATAGACAAAGATTACAATTACGTTAAAAATACAAGTCATTGAGGTAATACTATTCCATCAAGTTCAGACTATGTGATGGAGTCTGTTGGAAAAATTACTGTTGAATACATTATTTTAGAAATATTAAGAGATTTTTTCCTGAAAATAATTGAATTCATTCATTTATCATTGGAATTTAGAAAATAATAAAATAATTGAGAATTAAATAATTGGAAATTTCGTAAAAATATTAGAGATTATCAAATAATCGTCAATCTTCCGAATTCGATTATTGATTGATAAAATAGTTGAAAATTTGGATTTTTAAATTGGTGATACTTAAGTACTCAAAAAAATTCAAGAGTCATGTTATCTAATTAAGGGCTACAAAAGTAACCGTAATAAAATATTACAAATTTGGCTGTCCCTGGGGTACGAGTTGAATTTTCAGTTGACACGAGTAAAATTTAGGAGGATAAACATGAATTTTTACTTTGTCGATTGAGAAAATACTCCTCCCTTTTTCGAAATGAATATCCGCGGAAGAGGATGAGGAGGAGGGGGATTTAAACAAGATATAGCGGAGGCTGGGGTAAAACGGACACTTTTGACTTTTTTTAAAAATGTTAATGAGGGGTTGAGATGTTGATAAAATTCAATAATTTTTTTTTTCAATACAAAGAACAACTCTTCCCCTTTGTGGCGAACCTAAACTGAGCTCAATTGATAAATTTGTTTCTGAAAAAACTTTAAAGTGTCAATTTTACTCCACCCTCCCCTAATTACTCTAAATTCGATCGTTTTCTATGAAACATTCCACCTCTTCCAGAAGTCCGTTTGGAATTTCATATCCTCCTGCTACCGATTATTATTCCGGGGACTATCCGTGACAGTTGATCCTCGGAATTTCATAAGATTCATACCGCGCCCCGGCTTATCCCGTCCTCAAAAGTATTATCTCCATATTAATGGAGGGTATTTATAAGCGCGCATACGACTGTTACTTTTTTCCCCTTTGCATAAAAAAATATTTGAGAAGAACCATGAGTTGATCCATCGGATTTTTTTTTCGTAAAAAGTTCTTTATTCATAGACAACGATATTAAACCGAAAGATCTGAGAACAGGAGTTTCTACAAAAAATAATTCAATAAAATAAGTTGAATAGAAAAATCGAATTCTATTAACTGTTTCTATACAATAATTTCCACTCGATATTTCTGTTAAAAAAACGCGCAATTTTCTAGCGAATTCGTTGAGTTTTTCTACGAAGATTTTACGACATTACCGATTATTTTTTAATTTTTTACGAGATTTCTAAGATTTTTCTTTCGTTTAGTCATAAACGAAAAGACATTATTTTGCGCTGTCATTTTTTCATTTTCTGGAAGTAAAAAAATGAAATGAAAAACACCAGCAACCGTGTGATCCACCTGGGGGTCACGATGCCCTCCGAGACCCTAAGACCCGAGACTTCGACAGTGACGCAAGGCGAGATGGACGCGGATGCGTGGCGTCAGTCAACAGTAGCAACCAGCCGTGACGCTGCTCAGTCAAAAAATCAACACAAGAACGCTCGGCTTCTTTCTCGAATCTCCCCTCAATACACACGGGGCCTATATTCTCCCTTTTGAAAAGCCCCCAATTCCGTTTCACTGGGATCAATGAATCATTCGGCACAGATGCCGACGTCGCCGTCCAATGCTTGCTCCCGAATGGTATAAAATATAAACGCCAATGAGAGGAACAAACACTATGTCTACCCGTTTTATATCCCCCCGGAGGATTCAGCTGGGAAGGTTACTCGCCTACTCCCACGAGTGGATTCGGCCGGCTCTTGATGAATCGAGACTCTTGCCATTTCGTTGGTACTAACCGATCTCGCTGTGTTGAATTATTCAGATAATAATAATGCCTGGAAATGCGGAGATAATAATGAGGCCTGGAAATGTTGCTTTTTCAGATGAATCGTGTCGCAGGGTGATTTAAATCATCCGTTGAGGGATAATGAATCATTGTCGCTGGTGGAGATAAGGGGGGAAATGTGATGATTATTTCAAGGTGCTATCGGGCGACATGCGGCTTTTTAATGGATTTTTTTGCTGGTGTAAATCAACATCATTTAGCGAATACTCGCGAATATTACTGGGGTTTTTAACGCAATTGAGATTGACGAAAAATGAAGTCGTATTTTATTTCTCATCACGCTCTGACGAGAAGTGAACCCTCCGCGTGCCTAAAAGTCCAATTTCCGCCACACTGTGATGAAAAATATTGTTCGTAACTCGTGAAAAAATGTTTTTTAGCTCAAGGGATTATATTAAACCTCCCACTCGCCGAAAAACACTTTTTTGCACTCGTTACGAAATATACCATTTTCAGGCTTTTGTGTTTTTCATCACTCAAAGAATAATGCTTCAAATTGATTCATCATGGCTTTGAAAATTGTGCGCTCCGCGTACGTAATATTCCACTTTGCACACGCTGCGATGCAAAATAGAGTTCGACACTCGTGGGGAAAGAGTTCATTGCACACACCTGTTACGCGTGAAAAAACACTTCTACGCACTCGACTCGAAATATAATACTTTGTCAGAAATTTGAGTACATGGAAATTTTCTTTTATATTTGGCTAAAATATTGCGTGCACCAGAATATGACACGGGAATCGATGGATTTTTTGTTGTCTATTTTAGTTTTTTCCTCTTTTTCTCTTCTTTTTAAAATTTTTGTTTGTTTTTTTCAACCAATTTTTCATTTCTTTTTCTGCAAATTTCCCTTTATATTTGGCTAAAATACTAAATTTGTGTACGTGATTATACTATAATATGTTACTAGTGCGTAAAATTACATTTTTTGCGTGTACGTGTAACACAGCACATGTTTAACGTTCATGAACACTTAAAAAATGAAGCACTCGCTGAAAAAAATCTGGAAATTTTCCTTTATATTTGGCTAAAATATTGCGTGCACCAGAATATGACACGGGAATCGATGGATTTTTTGTTGTCTATTTTAGTTTTTTCCTCTTTTTCTCTTCTTTTTAAAATTTTTGTTTGTTTTTTTCAACCAATTTTTCATTTCTTTTTCTGCAAATTTCCCTTTATATTTGGCTAAAATACTAAATTTGTGTACGTGATTATACTATAATATGTTACTAGTGCGTAAAATTACATTTTTTGCGTGCACGTGTAACACACCACATTTTTTAGCGTTTATGAACACTTAAAAAACGAAACAATCGCTGAAAAAAAAACAAAATCAATTTGGAAGGATGAAAAATATCGACGTATGTTCATCTATTCCCAGCACGATTGTCCACCCCCATCTAACATTATTCGTCACAGAGGATCGGTGAAGTTAACGTTTTATTTATGAGACAGGAAGATGCCGCGATGCAATCCCCCCTCGCCCCCAAGATATTTGAAATGATACATCAGTCACTGAACATTTGGCGATCCCTCTCTCAAGATAGTCGAAAAGATCGACGCGATCCAGTAAGATCGTGGCGATAGGCTCGAGTTTTT